AAAAAGAAGAAGGAGTTAAGAATGAGCGCCGGCAGAATCAGCCAGTTGATCGCTGCCTCGGCGACTGCGGCCATCTCCGCCTGCCTAGCTTGCTCCTCCGTGGTGAAGACCATGGGCGGCTCAATGGTCTTGGCAAGAAAGGTGGTGGAATCAACACCCGGAGCTGACACGACATTGCACAGCGTGGTGTTGGGCAGCCCTGTTGAAGCTGCACATGGCACCTGATTCAGAACCTGGATGCCCAGGGCCGTCGCGTCCAGCTGTGCATGCACCTCCGCCTCTTGGCCGCAAAGCTGCCCGGTGTAGGCACAAATGGCAGGCTCAAACTGGGCCGGAACCACTGCGGACCCTGAGGCATCAAGGACTTCTGCCAAGCAGCTCCCGGCATAGCTCCCGCAGAACAGCTCAATCGTTGAGTCAATGCATGAAGACAAGCCCAGGACGCTGGAGCACGTCTTCACCACTTGCACACTGCGCGAGAAGCCTACAGAATACCCCTGCTGGATGGATGACGGGCTCATGCCGGCCAGAACCTCGTCCACGGTCTGTGCCACTTCAGTCACTGTCCCCATGTTGGCCTGGCCTGTGCTCGGAAGCACTAGATCCTGGCTCAGTCGGATCTTCCCAGTGATCCCGTACGGCTTGCCAAGTCCGCCTGCGGCGAGATCTGTGAGGTTTGGGGCCAGGAGAGTCGTCTCGAAGCCGGACGCCACTATGGTGATGTCTGCCTGACCAGGGTTGCTGCATGAGGTGCTGGAGCTCACGTTGAGATAGAGGCCGTTCGGCAGCGCCCCTGGCTGCATGCCCATTGCCTCAGCCAGAGGCGAAGGCATGCTGATGGCTGACAGCCTGGTGGCAGGAAGTGGCGCATTCTCGCACTGCATGGGTACAGCCACCGGCGTCCATCTCGCCTTCTCCATGCTGGCCCAAATCACCACAAACAGGTTGAGCGGGGCACTGCACAGCCCCGTGATGGCTTGGCACTTCGCGGTGCAGCATCCACACTTTCCCATCTTGGAAATCTCGGGAAGATCTGGAAAAGGCCGGATCCAACACTTCACTTGAGAGTCAAACAACTGCGACATGCCAAGTGCATCTCGAAGATTCTGCAAATCTGATTCCAAAATTCCAAAGCACGGACACGGAGATCTGCCTACAGTAAGCGCACTCAAATCTGCCACATGCCGCACAGTATCGCTCTCTTGTTTGACTGATGAAGGGGAAGCGCTCATGAGGTGTTGAAACTCACAGCCGCCTTTCCTGGACTTCACACGGTCATTCTTGCAAAGAATGCACAAAATCATGTAACTGCTGTCATTCAAGCAGAAACTGACTCAGAACCGGCACGAAATTCCGTGCAAACTGCTCAAAATTTGCCACGCTCTGCCTTTGGCACGCGCCTCGGGGAGTTCCAACAAATCGGGCAAAAAGAAAGTCATCCTGCAAAGGGTTCTGACTTCCCTGCTGCAAACGATGGCAAGCACAACCATAAACAAAGCATGACAAACCCTGACTTCACAACCGGGCCAAAAATGCTGTTACATGCTTGCCTTGCATTGCATCATTGCTTCTGTTCTTGTGTGTTCTGTATCTCGTGACATCGCCGCATGGCAGGGTAGGATGTTAATCATAACAGGCCCGCATCTGGCTTCCCAGCTTCCGGCTTCCCCTGGCTGGAGAGCTGAGCCAAAAAAACGAATTCCTGGTATTAATTGCAATGTGCGCCACCACACTAAGGCTTGTCATCAATGACGCCCGCAGCCATAACTGTGGCCAAAGTGGGCGGAGTCGGAGCCCCTTGCGCCTCTTTTGGCTCTTCGGCGGCTTCCGCCTTCATTCGCAAGTGCTTGCGCAGGTTGAAGAGGCCTGAGAACAAGTTTGAGAAAAAGAAAAAGGAGTTAAGAATGAGCGCTGGCAGAATCAGCCAGTTGATCGCTGCCTCGGCGGCTGCGGCCATCTCCGCCTGCCTAGCTTGCTCCTCCGTGGTGAAGACCATGGGCGGCTCAATGGTCTTGGCAAGAAAGGTGGTGGAATCAACACCCGGAGCTGACACGACATTGCACAGCGTGGTGTTGGGCAGCCCTGTTGAAGCTGCACATGGCACCTGATTCAGAACCTGGATGCCCAGGGCCGTCGCGTCCAGCTGTGCATGCACCTCCGCCTCTTGGCCGCAAAGCTGCCCGGTGTAGGCACAAATGGCAGGCTCAAACTGGGCCGGAACCACAGGGGACCCTGAGGCATCAAGTACTTCTGCCAAGCAGCTCCCGGCATAGCTCCCGCAGAACAGCTCAATCGTTGAGTCGATGCATGAAGACAAGCCCAGGACGCTGGAGCACGTCTTCACCACTTGGACACTGCGCGAGAAGCCTACAGAATACCCCTGCTGGATGGATGACGGGCTCATGCCGGCCAGAACCTCGTCCACAGTCTGTGCCACTTCAGTCACTGTCCCCATGTTGGCCTGTCCGTTGCTCGGAAGCACTAGATCCTGGCTCAGTCGGATTTTCCCAGTGATCCCGTACGGCTTGCCAAGTCCGCCTGCGGCGAGATCTGTGAGGTTTGGGGCCAGGAGAGTCGTCTCGAAGCCGGACGCCACTATGGTGATGTCTGCCTGCCCGGGGTTGCTGCATGAGGTGCTGGAGCTCACGTTGAGATAGAGGCCGTTCGGCAGCGCCCCAGGCTGCATGCCCATTGCCTCAGCCAGAGGCGAAGGCATGCTGATGGCTGACAGCCTGGTGGCAGGAAGTGGCGCATTCTCGCACTGCATGGGTACAGCCACCGGCGTCCATCTCGCCTTCTCCATGCTGGCCCAAATCACCACAAACAGGTTGAGCGGGGCACTGCACAGCCCCGTGATGGCTTGGCACTTCGCGGTGCAGCATCCACACTTTCCCATCGTGGAAATTCGGAGAGATCCAGAGAAAGCCCCAAAACTTAACTTGAGAGTCAAACAACTGCGACATGCCAAGTGCATCTCGCAGATTCTGCTTCCAGATTCCAAAGCACGGACACGGAGATCTGCCTACAGTAAGCGCACTCAAATCTGCCACATGTTACATAGTATCGCTCTCTTGTTTGACTGATGAAGGGGAAGCGCTCATGAGGTGTTGAAACTCACAGCCGCCTTTCCTGGACTTCACACGGTCATTCTTGCAAAGAATGCACAAAATCATGTAACTGCTGTCATTCAAGCAGAAACTGACTCACAAGCGGCACGAAATTCCGTGCAAACTGCTCAAAACTTGCCACGCTCTGCCTTTGGCACGCGCCTCGGGGAGTTTCAACAAATTGGGCAAAAAAGAACGTCATCCTGCAAAGGGTTCTGACTTCCCTGCTGCAAACGATGGCAAGCACAACCATAAACAAAGCATGACCTACCCTGACTTCACAACCGGGCCAAAAATGCTGTTACATGCTTGCCTTGCATTGCATCACTGCTTCTGTTCTTGTGTGTTCTGTATCTCGTGACATCGCCGCATGGCAGGGTAGGATGTTAATCATAACAGGCCCGCATCTGCCTTCCCAGCTTCCCGGCTTCCCCTGGCTGGAGAGCTGAGCCAAAAAAACGAATTCCTGGTATTAATTGCAATGTGCGCCACCACACTAAGGCTTGTCATCAATGACGCCCGCAGCCATAACTGTGGCCAAAGTGGGCGGAGTCGGAGCCCCTTGCGCCTCTTTTGGCTCTTCGGCGGCTTCCGCCTTCATTCGCAAGTGCTTGCGCAGGTTGAAGAGGCCTGAGAACAAGTTTGAGAAAAAGAAGAAGGAGTTAAGAATGAGCGCCGGCAGAATCAGCCAGTTGATCGCTGCCTCGGCGGCTGCGGCCATCTCCGCCTGCCTAGCTTGCTCCTCCGTGGTGAAGACCATGGGCGGCTCAATGGTCTTGGCAAGAAAGGTGGTGGAATCAACACCCGGAGCTGACACGACATTGCACAGCGTGGTGTTGGGCAGCCCTGTTGAAGCTGCACATGGCACCTGATTCAGAACCTGGATGCCCAGGGCCGTCGCGTCCAGCTGTGCATGCACCTCCGCCTCTTGGCCGCAAAGCTGCCCGGTGTAGGCACAAATGGCAGGCTCAAACTGGGCCGGAACCACTGCGGACCCTGAGGCATCAAGGACTTCTGCCAAGCAGCTCCCGGCATAGCTCCCGCAGAACAGCTCAATCGTTGAGTCAATGCATGAAGACAAGCCCAGGACGCTGGAGCACGTCTTCACCACTTGCACACTGCGCGAGAAGCCTACAGAATACCCCTGCTGGATGGATGACGGGCTCATGCCGGCCAGAACCTCGTCCACGGTCTGTGCCACTTCAGTCACTGTCCCCATGTTGGCCTGGCCTGTGCTCGGAAGCACTAGATCCTGGCTCAGTCGGATTTTCCCAGTGATCCCGTACGGCTTGCCAAGTCCGCCTGCGGCGAGATCTGTGAGGTTTGGGGCCAGGAGAGTCGTCTCGAAGCCGGACGCCACTATGGTGATGTCTGCCTGCCCGGGGTTGCTGCATGAGGTGCTGGAGCTCACGTTGAGATAGAGGCCGTTCGGCAGCGCCCCTGGCTGCATGCCCATTGCCTCAGCCAGAGGCGAAGGCATGCTGATGGCTGACAGCCTGGTGGCAGGAAGTGGCGCATTCTCGCACTGCATGGGTACAGCCACCGGCGTCCATCTCGCCTTCTCCATGCTGGCCCAAATCACCACAAACAGGTTGAGCGGGGCACTGCACAGCCCCGTGATGGCTTGGCACTTCGCGGTGCAGCATCCACACTTTCCCATCTTGGAAATCTCGGGAAGATCCGGAAAAGGCCGGATCCAACACTTCACTTGAGAGCCAAACAACTGCGACATGCCAAGTGCATCTCAGAGATTCTGCAAATCTGATTCCAAAATTCCAAAGCACGGAAAGTGGCTCCAGTGTCCGAGTGCATCTGAAAAAAATGCTGGCATTTCATGAGTTCCAATCCACGGAGATGCAAATCGAAGCCCTCTTTGCATCAGAGCCCCCCGACTGGCGCAGGTTCATCAACACCTGGCTGGCGCTTGCCAGGCCTTCCCCCCTGGCCTTTCCCGGAGCCAATCCTTCCAGTCGCACATGAGCAGATGCAAATCATTCCAAACCCAAAATCAGTGTCTCCAAACAGCCCAACCCCCCCCCCCCCCCGGCGGGACATTCATCATGTTCCAAATTGGCCCGGACAACTTAAGGTGTGTGCGTGTGTGCGTGTGGTTTTTTCAGCCCCCCGCGAAACGTCCGCTGCTTCTCTTTTCGGGTTTGGAATCCAGATGCCCCATGAACACACGCCCCGACACGTCGGAATGAGCTTCCTGGGCAAAAAAAAAGAAGAAGAAAACGGGGCCAGTTGCACCTCCAGGCCGAGTCAAACCCAAGTGTCTTGCGAGCGCAAATGTTGACCGACCCCGAGGTCGACAGATTGGGATCGGAAACCCCAAGCCGCTTAGCCACATGAAACCAACCATCCAGGAAACCCATCCGTGGGTCCAATTTTCACACATCCATGTCCGAGCGACCCCATTCTGAATGTGTGGGAACGAGCCGGAAGCGCAGGCAAGCTCGAAAACCAGCTGGAGGAAACAAATTTATTCAGCGGCAGGAAACTGAGGACCTCGGAACTCCGTGAGGGCACATGTCATTCTCTCAGGCAAGTCAGCGATCAAGAGGCGAGCCTCAAACCTCATGTGTGGCCTTCTTTCTGGCTGGGACCGTCGACAACCATCAACCCTTCTTGAGGGGACGAGTCTCCAAACCTTCGACAAGTCTCCCAACCATGGTTTCTGTGTTCAAGGTGTTGCGCCGGAGGGAACCCAAAGCGAAACCCGTTTGTCCCCTCAACTTCAACTAGCCAAGTGCTCATTGTACCTCAAATGACAAACATCAGAGGATTAAACGGAAACAGGGGGGTCCTGTTGCTCAGCTGTTACTTAGGTTAGAAGACTTGCTTAAACTCTAGACAACAACTTACAAAGTAACCCCCAAAATACTGCGGATGGACGAAAACCATGTCGCACCCCGATTGATTCCCTTTAGAACCAACAGGATATTTGAACAAAAAAAGGGAGGAGGAGGTCTCAAAAGTCTTGAGACGCCCAACCTAGTCCGGCCATGGTTCAAAACCAATGATACCATTTTGGGATAGGTGCACCACGCATGTTAGACCCTACTTTAGTGGTTGGATTGGGATGACCCATGGCCCTTCCAACTGGAGCCTGACTGGCCACCCGCGTGTCCATGGCGGAGGGCGAGTCCTGCAGCCTGCGGAGCGAGGCGCCCCTCGGCGCGTTGGATCCGCGGAGGCGGGGAGCTGGAGCGGTCGGGTGATCGGGTTCAACCCTAGATCCTCCAGTAGAGAGGTTAGAAAAAGGGTACCCGCTTTTTGCAAATATTGCAATCATTGAACAATTGCTTTAATTGCGATTGAAGCAGGTAGCTAGGTTCTCCAGATTTGAGAGGTTAGAATAAGTTGGTAAACCCTTTTTGATGTAAAAGTTAAATGCCGTTTCTAGGTCCTCCAGTGGAGAGGCCAGATTAAGTTGGTGCCAACTTTTTGCTGCAGTCTATTTTTAGTAAGGTAACCCTCACCCCAAAAAAGGGGTGAGAAAGGGCACTACTGGGGGACCTAGAACGGGGGCGGTTGGGGATGGGGGGATTGGTGGGCCGCTGGCGTCGCCGGTTTTGAGGCTCGGTGCGTCTTTGCTTTGGTGTCGGTTTGGTACATTGGCTGTGAGTGAGCAAGTTCCAGCGCTGTCGGGACACTAGCTTCGGGTTGTCTGGTATGGTGGAACCCTGGGCACCCAAGTCATGGCGGGTTGCAAACTTGGATCTCTCTCTGGTTTTGAGGCTTGGTCGTCCTTCTGGGGGTTGGTTCATTGGGGGAGTGTCCCCATTTTAACGTGTCCAAACCAGACCCCGGCCTAAGGCAAAAGAAAAGCTGGTTGAAACCCTTGGGGGAAAAAAAACGCGTCCAAGCAAGGGTTGGCCTCCACCTGGGCTTTGGAGGGCTTTGGGCACCTTGATGAACAAAATGGCGGCTCTCCGACAAAGGACACCGGAAAACCACACAAACTAGGTCCTCCAGATTTGAGAGGTTAGAATAAGTTGCTGCCCGTTGTTTTTTTTCCTGTAGACTATTTTAGTAGGGGAGCCCTCGGCACTACTGGGGGACCTAGCAAATGGAGATTCCGCTAAGAAAGCAGGTCTAGCCAACTGCAGCAATGGTTTCGAATTCCGCTAAACAATCCCCACCTGATTCATCAAGCTCTTCTGGGGGCTTCCTGGAATGATCACAAGACTCCAGTTCCCCTACCACCATGTCAAACGTTCGACCCCATGTGAGTCACTTTCAAAACCCGGTATTAAAATGGTCTACCCAGAACCATGTGAAGAATTAAGAAGGCGGAATTCCGCAACTATCTCTGGCTGGGACTGCCCCTTACTAACCTTCATCTACCCGAATCGGTTTTGAGCACGTGGCTCATGTGTCATCAGCACGGCGGATGAATTTTTGGTGCCTCCCATGGAAGATACCCTACACCATGGCTTGAAACCAACTGGCTGCCTGGACCGGGTTCTGACGCGCTTAGCAAGGCAAAACCAAGAGCCCAACTCGGCTCGGGGGAAAAGCTGGGGAGCGCTCGAAAAATCCCATTTGTGTAGTACCTGGCCTGCCACATCCTGTTTTTGCTTGGTTGCTGCTGATCCCTCTGCAAAAAGTTCAACTGTTTGTGGGTTCAGTGGAAAAGTTTAAGTCTAAAGATCCAACCCAATAGCAGTCAAGTTTGATAGGCTCTAGTTGGTGGTTTGGCTTGCAGCTTGGGATCCGAGATTCAGTTCCATCCCAGAATGGTCACGGGAAGCAAAGGGCAACCTGGCAACGAATTGATCTCAGACTGCCCCTCCGAAAGCAAGTAACTCAGGTGATATCCCCAGCACCGCCCCAAACCACCTGGAACCCTCGTGGAACCCTGGTAGAACTCCGGTGGAACCCTCCCTCATGGAACCCTGGTGGAACCCTCGTGGAACCCTTGTGGAACCTTACCTCAGGGCCGCCCCAGACTGTTGGGGAAAAAACATGTAGGGCCCCTTTAAAATAGGTGGAAAGTGGCCCCGCGCCATGTCTCGGAGTATCCAAGCCTCAGCCAAGGATTCCGCAGGACGTCCTCCAGCTTCATCCTGTGGCAAGTCCAACCGTTGGTATGGTATTCAGCAAAAAAACTTCTTTTTGCAGCCTACTCAAAAAATAAACATGACCCAAAAAAATACTAAACCTCAAGCTTGATCCAGCATCAATGTCACCCCGTCTCTGTCAGACTTTTTGCTCCTCCCCAAAAACCACGAACGGGCATCAATGGTCAAGCGACCTTCAGTTGGGGGCCTTGTGCCCTGAAAGCCTGCTGGAATCTCCAGCTGGAAGCACGCCGAAAGGTGCTCGGCAGACCTCCTTGCTCAGTTGCTCACTGTGAGCCAGCCACATGATGAAACTCTGTGAACACCGGGATAAACCATCGTCCATGATCCAATTTTCCACGCTGAAGGAAGGCCTCCCCAGAGACTTCGGAGTCTCGGCGTTGATTGAGCCAAGGGGCTCACGAGGAACTTCTTGAGTCAGAACCCCTCCAAAACTGGAAACATGCATCGGGACCCACCGAACATGTTGATGTCCTCCAAAAGGGTCCCTCTTGCAACTCGCCCGCAATTGGGGGGTTGATCAAAAGCTCCTTTACATGGGATGACCCTTGGGGGAAAAAACGAACCATAACATGTCCCACTAAATGGAAAAAGCTCTTGGCTCCGCCAACTCTGAGTTGCAATCACCCCTTCTTCACGCTGGAAACTCGGGGACATCGCAGCGGGGCCAAGGAGGCAAGATAAATTTCACGAGCCAACCGGCAAGCCACGGACTTTCCTCTCCGACGAACATGGAAGTAGGAGGGTGGCTCAAATGCGTCAGAATGAAAACCAGGCATTGGAATGGTCTACGAACCATGCAAAGGAGTCAAGAAGGCGGCTGCACCCGTTGATGGTTGGGATTATCTCTCTCTAACCTTCCCCTCCCCGGGTTTTGATTGTGGCTCAAACGATTGTTGGACAGAGGCTGCGTCTCCATGTGACAAACTTCGGCGAGACCAACATGGGCCGTCCCTCACACCACCATGTCCCTAGGTGGCACCTTTGGTTTTAAACACAAAGTGGTCCTGAGTCCTGGGACCCAAATTCGAACGTAAGATCGAGGTCCGAAACCTGGCTAAATGGAAACCAAGGCTAACACCTGCATATCCCTGGTTCTTGAAACCCAAGGAGCTGGACGGCTTCAAAGAACCGCCCAGCCTATTGAAACCCGCAGACATCTCTCCCTGCGAGCCCAGATCCTTGCCTCTGCTTGGGATCAGCTCTAAGCAATCCCCGGATCAGGTCCTGGCAGGAGAAGCCAACGCCGTCCGGAAATGACGGCAAGAAGAAGCGGGCCCGGACAGATCGGAAACAGCCAGGCGCGGGCGCCTGGAAGATACACGGCGCTTTTTGTTGGAACTACCTGTACCTGCAAAATGGAAAAGATCCGTCTCGCTAGACCAGACGAAGCGCTCGTTGGCTTCAAAATGGTTCGTGCTTGACCTAGCAAATTCCCCACAAGGTTCTAGGCCAACGCTTCCTTCATCTAGGCAAATGGCATTCTTGCACACCCACGCAAAGTGGATGTTTGCCCTGTCACTCGAGTTTCCGTTTCATGCCACCTTACAAAGTTTGCGCGGCATATGAAGCAGGTCTGCGTGTTTCACAGCATGTCGGCGGTCGTCGTGGAAGCCATTCGCCAAACTGGCAGTCATGGCAGCTGTCGTGAGCAGCATGCTAGAGTCACTGCGCTGACAATCCTCCAAACATTTGCGCGGCGGTCATGGCAGCTGTCGTTTGCGAGCGCATGTGTCATTTGTCAAACACGTGATGTGATGTGAGTGGCGAGCGCGATGCCCTGAAATATGCCAAAAGGCCTGCTGACGTGCAAATGAAACAGCTTCCTGAAGGGGGACGTGAAGACGCAAAAAAAAGTTTAGAGGCAAGGTGTGAGACAGGCATCAACAAAGTCCAAGACATTGGACCCTGCCTTCCGCCATTACAAAAGCCCCACACGGCGCACTCCTGTCCTTGGCCACGCTCAAGTGTTTGCCAAACGTTCGTGGCCGGGCGCGGCTGTCAGAACGATTTTGACCAACACATGCCCATGCCCAAGTCCCACCAGAATCAATCCAACTCCAGCCCGAGCGGCTACACTTTTTGAGACTACCCCGCAACACCCACCCTCCACAACTCCCCCCGGCCGAAAATATAGATATTGATATATAATAATCATAATGATGATGATAATAAAAATAATAATAATAATAGTAATAATAATAATAATAACAATAAGAATAATAATAATAATAATAATAGTAATAATGATAATAATAATGATAATGATAATAATCCTCATCATCATCATCATCATCAGCAGCAGCATCAGCATCAGCATCAGCATCGGCATCGGCATCGGCATCGGCATCGGCATCGGCATCGGCATCATCATCATCATCATCATCATCATCATCATCATCATCATCATCATCATCATCATCATCATCATCATCATCATCATCATCATCATCAGCTTCATCATCATCACCCAAAACAGCACCTGCCATACTGCATGCCCCTTTGCACCCGGCCGCCAATCTCGTCACCAGCACCTCAGACAACAGAGCAGCACCTGCACCAGCTCCCCAAACTGAATGCTCCCTGGCAACTTGCAACACAAGCAGCAACCCAAAACAGCACCTGCACCAGCACCTGCACCTTGCATGCCCCCGACCGAGCACCCAGCCGTCAATCTCACTTTCCCCTCTTTAGAAGTTCGAACCCCAAGAACACCATGGCCAAGTCAGCTCTCTGGGGGAAAATGGGGCAGGAGAACAAGAACCAAAGCACCTCAAAGACCCCCCCTGCGCCCCCACCAAACCCCAAAAACGTCTCCAAACCCCACCTTGGCTGGCCGGGAGATCTGCTGCCAGGTGCTGTCGCTCATGGGGAAGCTCTCCCGCTTCATCCTGATCGACTTCCAGGCGACCGCTGTCCCCAGTTCTTCCGGTGGCAAGTGAAGCAGGTAGCCATGAGAACATAGGTGTCCTTTTTGGGAAAATAGATGGGAAGAAGACATGCGTCAGGATTGCACACATCCTGGTGCCAAGACTCAATGACTCCAGCGTGTTTCCTACAGTATTAACCCCGAAAAGCATAATCTTTATCAGGTCTAGGCCTGAAGCCTCTGTTGGGGATCAAGGCTTGGGCAATTCTGGTCTGAACTGGGGGCAAACAATAGGTTTACCCTTTGTCGCAATTGGAAGTCAACAGGAGGGTGGAAGACTACGGCCCGCAAAACGGAAAAGTAGCATCCGCTTCCGGCCGGCCAGCCGTCCAGCCCCAGCCCCGCCGCGAAACTCCGCTTGCGCAGACCTCCTCAGCTGCTCGTTGTAGTTGCCCCAGAACGGCGGCTTGCCGCACAGCATGACCTGCGATCAAAACCCGTCTTCAATCAAAAGGAAACCAAACCTCAGCGCTTTCCAAGAGCAAAGGGAGTCAAAGACCTGCCAACCAAAGAGAGCAAATCCTGGTACCAAGAACACGGTTGCTGATCCTACAATCCATACGGCCCCTTGCAAAAGGACAACTTTCTATTTCTCGGGTCCGTCGAGAGAAACCCTTCACCTAGAGTTGCACCGCTCCTCTCCCTGGCAAAATTAAAAAAGGTGGAGCAGCCAGTTCTCTACCTCTCTTTTTTTGGGGGGACCACCCAAGAAAAAGCCGTGGATTCCGGTTTTCCCTCTAGTTTCCCTCAAAAACCTGACCCAACAATCTTGGGACACCCTCCAAAAGACGAACAAAACTGCAGGGTTTCGCCGCCAGTCTCTACCCCTCTCAAACCAAACCCAGGCTCGGCCCGCCCGGGCTCGACCCGCCCGGGCGAACCGGGGCTCAGCGAGTCCGGGCAGCCCGACATAGGTCACCACTCCAAGGCTCCACAAGTCGCAGGCAGCCTGCAGAGTTCGCTCGCTCGCTCGCTCGGCGAATTTTCGTCTCGGGTTTCCATCAAACTTTGCCGGTGCGATCGAGTGGGGAATGAGTAGCGAATGCAGGGAACCCCCTCAAAGAATGGATGGGTTCTTCTTGGTTTGTGGGAATGAATTCCTTTTTGGGATCCCGAACGAACGAAACCACCCGGGATGGTTTAAATCTGTTTCATTCCATTTCTCATTCCCTACCTACGCACCAGCAAGCGCAACCAAAACGCCCAGGGCTCGGGTCCGGTGAAGTGCCCTCAACATGGTTCGTGGCTTTTTCCGTTTCAAACCGCTCAAGAGAAGCTGAAAAACCCATAAGATGGTTGGTGTCCTTCTAGTTTCCTTTTATTTTCCGGTTTGCGGTTGGCTTCCTGTTGGTTTCCCAAAAAGACACCCAACAAAGAGAGTTCACCCTCAAACATGCACAAAGCCGCAACGAGTCGCCCGGAGTGTATCAAATTGGTCCACCCAAATGTAAAGAATCAGACCATTCGCTCCCTTCCGGCTCCCTTACCACCGGCTCCCCTTTTTTCCAATTGGGCTCCGGGCCCCGAGCCTCGATCGTCTCCCATTCAAGGGCGAGTTCTCGGCTCAGGGAAGGGAATCACCACCAGGCCTTGTGATTTCTGAATGGGCGCCCACGGAAGATGTGGACTCCCTGAAACCACGGGCAAAAAAAATGTTTCTGAGCTAAGCTCTTCCCCGAACCAGCTTCGGCCGCCGAAAACGCGCAAAGCGCACGCCGGTTCGCCCACGAACGCGACGGTTACGCCCGCCGTGTAGCCCTGCTTCTCCTTTGCCTCCAACACCTGCGAGGCGTCCCGGCGTAGCGATCGCGAGCGCTTGGCAGAAGCTCATAAACCCACCTATTTTGACACAAACCTATTTCGCTGCCACCAGCCTTTTTAGGGTTGGTGTTAGAGCGGACATCAAAGGAAACCACCCCGTGTTGAGGGTCATTTGGAGGGTTCTCCTAAAGAAGACACCGCGCTTTGACACAGACCCAAATTGTTGCGTGCTTTTGTTAGGCTTTGAAGGCGAAGGGTCCGAATCCGAAGAAAAGACACGCCCAGCTCTCCATGGGATCGGACGCCTCTTTCTCCCCCGCCTCCGGCGCCGCATAGGTAAGGCTCCCGACTGCGGAGTTCATCCTGCCCTAGCGACATGGATAGAGAAAATGGGTCCCAGGGATTTTCTGGGGCATGAGGGGTCTGTGTTGCTGAGTTGATACCCTTTTTGGGGTACTGATTCCCATTTGGAGACACCCATGTGGCGGATGCCGGATCTTTGTTTTTGCAAGTTGCGGAACAAGGAAACCCCCCTAAACTGCCCCACAGTGTGTTGTGTGTGTGTGTGGTTGAGGCGTGGTTGATTTGCCAGCAATAACTTTTAGTATGCTAAGGGCATCCGCCGTAGAGGTGCCGTAAAACAACGGCTTAAACGCAACTCTTGGGCCACGAGTCGGCGATGTACGCACTGATCTGAGTACCAAAAATGGGCCGAGCCAAGTCCATTGAGCGAGCCAATTCCTCCGGTGCCATTCCCGGGCTGGGGTCTGGTACAGAATCATTCCTTCAAAGATTGCTCCGGTGGCAAATCCCTGTCTTTTTCAGATTGACCTCAGGATCATTGGTTGGCAAATGGAAAAATGAGTCACCAAGCAAACCTTGTTGGGGTTGCCATGAAAGGCGTCGAACATCGAGTCGGACATGGAATAAAGCCAGGGAGAAGGAAAACCATCTTGAAGGAATCAACACCAGACATGAAGGAATCGCTCCAGAAAAAAATGATCTAGTGGATCTCTGTCAACTCGGTGGCATTTCACCAAAAACCTGCCTCTAAAAGAGCAATCCCGGCCTGGCCGAAGTAGAAGCCGAGGCCCCAGTCGATGAGCTGGCGGAAACAACAAGAAGAAAAGCAATGCTATAAGGGCCTTTGGTTGGTTGCCTGCGTGCTTGCCTGCCAGCTTGCCTGCTTGCCTGCTTGCTGACCGGCTGGCTTGCTTGTTTGCCTGCGTGCTTGCCTGCCAGCTTGCCTATTTGCTCGCTTGTTTGCTGGCGGCTTGCTGGCTGGCTGGCTGGCTGGCTGGCTGGCTGGCTGGCTGGCTGGCTGGCTGGCTGGCTGGCTTGCTTGCTTGGTGGCTGGCTGACTTGCTTGCTTGCTTGCTTGCTTGCTTGCTTGCTTGCTTGCTTGCTTGCTTGCTTGCTTGCTTGCATGCATGCATGCTTGGTTGGTGCCCTTTTGCTGTTTTGATGGGCAACCAAAAGGAAAGCCGAGATGAATTTTCGGGGGTCCCCCAATTTCCGACACACCCCATAAAATGTCAATCAACCTGTGTCCATCAAACCAACGATTGTGCAGGGGCCCTTGAAACGGAGTATCCACTGCCATGGTTGTTGGAAGAAATCCGGTTTGTGGGTGCGTCCCACAAGGAAACCCGGTTGAAAAGTGAGGTGAAAAACGAACCTCCTGCAGGCGTTCCTCGATGATCAGGGATTGGTTGGCGTTTTGGTAGGCCGAAACAACATCGACTATCTGGACGAGGACTCCCAACTGTTTCGTGCAAACATTCCCCATGGACCCCCAACAATTTGACCTCATATTGGCAGCCAAATGTCATGTCCGAGATGGTCAAAAAGGAAAAAGTCGCTCTGTTTGGTGGAGGTTCAGCGGTGAGCAGCCGAGGTTTTTGGTTGCCCCACGCTTGAAACCCAACATGTGTACCAAATAGCCTGACCAAGCCGGGGCTGCGGGGTTTCTGAAAGGGAGCCAGCCCATTCATTGGCTACGGTGAAATGTCGAGCACTCAACCAACAGGCTGTCTGACAGCATTACTTCTAGGATGTGAAGAGATTCGGTTCTCGAATTAGGACAATGACAAAATTATAAACTCATACAAGACTTCCGTTTTGCGGTAACTCATACCGAAAAGCGAATATTTATTGCAGGGCGTAAGGGGCCTTCGTGTGTCAAAGGAGGCGCGAAGCAGGCATTGAGGGCAAGAAAGGCTGGACTGAAGGAGCCCAAGGGGGAGAAGAAAAAAAAAGAAAGCAGCACACACCAGAAGAGCTCGCACAGCCGGGAAATTAGAAAAGTAAACGAGCTGCAGTGGCCTTCGCAACGCCACCGCGCTCTTCAGCGCCCCTCTGCGGGGCGCGGGGAGGAAAAAAAAAACGCAAACGCCGCCACCACAATTGGGCCGTTTGGCTGACAATTCGAGCATCGCAGTGAGGCTTCTCGAAATTCTGTGAGGCGACGGGAGTGTCCACCAGTCCTGAGTTGCGAGTCGAGCCACAGCTCAAGGAAGCGCCTCACGCTCGCCGCCCTTCGGGGCGCACCGGCAGCCGCCGGTGGTGCTGACACAAAAAACGTCGAACAGAGGTCCTTCCACTCAGCGCTCGTTTTCAGCGAGGTCTTGCAACTCAGCGTGACACAAACAAAAAAAAAAACATGGGCCTCCCCTGGCCGAGCTACCAACTGCTTGTGCGAGCCAGGTTGCTCACCATCATCCGCAACCCTCTCGGTCAGAACTGCACAACCTAAATCCCCGAAACCCCCGAAACCCCCGAAGCTCGCACAACTGATGTTTCACTCCCCTGGACACGCCTTCACGTGGTTGTTGGTCACGTCTTTGCTGCAAAAGCCTCGCGCCGCGCGAGTTTCGGCGACTTGTGAATCATAAGAATCTGGATGAGCCAACTGCGAGAGAATATTCAAGGGACCTTCATGGACGAAATAGCTCGCGGTATGCCAGGAGACATTCGTAACGGACCGTCATGGGTGGGATATTGAACGCGGTAACTATGCCAAATCGAATTGGTGGGCTGCGGGATGGATGCATCCTGGCACTCTTGGCAAAACAATTTGAAGCCGTGGCTAGCCCACGCCCACACTACGTCCAAATGAGTCATAATCAAAACCTGGTATAACAATGAGCTTCCCAACACTATGTAAAGAATCGAAAAGGGCGGACATCCGCACCTGCTTCTTTCTGGTGGGGACAACCCCTTAACCTTCATGCACCGTTTTGAGCAAGTGACTCAAATGAAGCTGGGAACTACCCGCCCAGCAAATTTCCCTCGACTTCACGTGGCTTCCTTCCAAAGACTCCCTTCAATACCCCGGCAATTACTAACCAACAATGGTTTCCCATATGGCTCCCAAGTGCGAGAAGCGGACTTCGTCCATCAAAGAGTGGCAGCCCATGGCTCCAAGCGCCGCGAAATCCCAGAAAAAAAAATCCACCGAGTCTGGGTTCCAAGTGGCGCCAACGAAGAGTTCCACTTGGGAGCCCAAGCTTCCACGGGGTTCCCCACGGGCCACCCGCCCGGGCGAAAGGAATGTCCGGCCCTCCGAGTCGGGATCCGGAAGAATTCCTCTCGACGGATCTAAGCAGCGGAGCGGTCGCCGCTCCGCTTAGGACGGGCCGAAAAGCCCCACGAATGGGAGGGCCGGCGTGGTAAAAAACAACCCCAAAGAACCAGAAGGAGGAGAAAAACAAAAAAGGAGAAACAAAACAAAAAAGAAGCAGCCGGGGGAAAAGCAAACCATGCGGGTAGGTACCTGAACGCGGGTCACCCCTTTTTGCGGCAAAAGCGGCGCGACCAGAATCCGAGTGAGTCACTTCTAGTCATGTTCAGACCCAAGGTTCGGTAGAAAGAAACCCTCTAGCTTGAAACATAGCCCAGATCTGAGCGTCTGGGGCCCCCTCGGCTAGTTTCCGCCGCCAAAGCGCCGCTCCCGTTTGGATTGGGAGAGCCCTCCGATTGGACCCTTAGGCCAAGAAGCAAATGTTCTCCGGCTTCATGTCGCGATGCGCAATCCCCCGGTTGTGCGCATACCTCGGGCAGTGGGTGTGCAGAGCCCGATGCACCTTTGTTTCTCACGGGTGTGGCAGGGACGGTGGTTCTTTTCAGTCCGGAGTCTTTCTTTGGAGAAAGCCTTTTCTGGTTGAAATGGCGCACCCCGTCTCAAACCAAAAAGATCAACTTGTCCTTCAAACCCGAAAGTGTTCCCCGGACTGAAAGATGAAAGAAGTAACTCCCCGGACTGGAAACAATTAACCACCAAAAACTTGTCCATCCACAGCAACCTCATTGTTTCAACAAGACCAACCTTTGGTTCTTCTAACCTTACTCGGTTGCTTTCTGCTCCCCTGCTAAAAGTTTAACTTTTAGCGGTTTACTGGAAAACCGATTGATTCGCGAAAAAAAGAAGTCCTAACAGCCCTTGGCAAGATGCGTCAAAGCTTAGTCGTCCTTCAAACCTACCAGACAAACCTCGCAGCCAGTCTCCCCGCGGGTCGGGCCCCGGAGCCCCACTCTGCCGGGGGCCCCGGCAGCAGCGCGCTGGCGGACTGCCGCACGATCTCTGCGGTGGTCGACTCCTGGATGAGGCCCTGCCTGGAAGCGACGGCCTGGAGGAAAAACCGAAATCCTTTTGCGGGTCCCACATTTGAGACGCACCAAAATGTGTTGTTGTTTTTTTGTGTTTTTTTTAAGGGGGGTTTTAGGAGGAAGGGAAGCCCAAACTACTACTTTGAACACCCTCCACGTGATGGTTTGAGTGTGCCTCACCGGGGGCGAAGCTTTGAAGTTGGCAACCAATCCGGTTAGAACCCACTTATCAGCCTCCTCTTGTCAGGTGAACCCAGGCAGCGGGGTGTAACCCAGGTGCCTAAACCTTACTAGCTGGGCCGAACATCCCAGTGGGATGCCCCAAAACAGGTGGTTTCCTTAAACAGGCGGTTTTGTCTCCAAAAACATGGGGCTTTGAGTCAAGGAACCTCAACGACCCCTTGAAAACCAGAAGCCCAAATGGAGTTGCAACCACCAAAACCTCGGGGCCTGAAGATAGGTCCCTCTTGAAGTGTCCCTTGCCGAAAATTCGCTGCCCTGAAAAACCGACACACGGAGAAGTGGGGCCGGGGAGCTTTCGGAAGGGAAGGTCGTAAGGGTCAGATACCGGGGGTGGCTGGAGTTCGCCAAATGCCTGTGGCTCAAATCAATGTGCCAAAACGGCACCTTGGAAAATGGAGCCGAAGACTAAAACCTGCGTGACCCTAGCTCTTTAATTTGGAGCCACGCCCAAATCAAATATGTGTGATTGCCATGTCATTGAAACTGCCACTGTTGGAGGTTCCAAATAAGGGAAACGAAGGAACCCCTGAGATACTCCTTGAATCCAGAAGAGTGGTCCCTTTTTGGGGGGGCTTTTGGGAGTGTGGTACCTTTTTCAGGGTTGTATCTCAACGGGAAGCGCCCGTTGCGGGTCCCAGTTCCGTCTCTGGAGAAGCGTAGGGGACATTGAGTAAGGGAGTAGTGGAGCAAGTTCATTTGGGTGTGCCAATTTGTCTGAGGGCACCTTTTTTGGGTGGTAAAGGAAAAACCAAGGCGAAAAAACAACACCAATTTTTAGGGGGGGTGTCCCATTTTGAGACGCGCCCAATTTGGAGTGTCGAATCAAGCCGTGAAGTCATGGAGCTCTGGGGTCACTTGAGGATTTTTTCAGGGACGGGTGTCTCCTGTTCGATGGCGAAACCGAAAAAGAACCGTCCAGTTTTCCAGACACCCTTTAGGCCCTTTGGGCTCCCAGCCTCAGTGGATTTCCATGGGGAAAAAGGGCAAGCCCCCTCTTGCTGCGGCTAAGTTTAAAGAGGAAATCCCAAAACCACAAAAACATCTTGCCACCAATTCCTCTGAAAGCGGCGAAAAGGGCACCTTGTTTCAACATCATCCGGAGGGGCCCCGGGCTCCATGATGCGATCGAAGACCTCCCGCCCCTCGCAGTACCTGAGGCTTCCACAGCTTTCTAAGGGGGTCATACTGTGGATGGACAAAATCCATTTCGCAACACTTTGAAACCATGGGAAGCCATTGCTTGTGGTTATTTACAGGGGAATCATCATTCCTAGGTTTCTTAGGTAGTGCAGAATTTCGTCCATCCACAGTGCCGGCTGTTTTTGGGCAAGCCCAAACTGGACGAATCTCTCCCTTTTAGACAAGCCCGGAAGAGGGCGTTTTCAAGCAAGTCATGTCCAAAGAGACCAAAAAAAGGACGAGTGACAAATCGAGAAAGGACATGCCCAAATGAGGCTTGGATGGAATTGGTCCTGGCTGAGTGCTTTTCAAGAGAAGGGGGCGTCGCCCGTTTGTCCTCGACTTCTGACAACCCAAAGGCCAAGCCATCAGGAGGAAACCACAAGTAAGCCGCGAGTTTTTCGGCGGGTCCCAGCTACACCTACCATGCCTTCAAAACACAAAGATCTAGCAGTTTGGACTAACCCTGCACTTGTGGGAGGATACCTGGAAAATAAACTTCCTCTTTCCCTCCAGGTGCCATGTGTCGCTGGGAGGAACGGCACGCCTTTCTGTTTTTTGCCGCCGCAAACTGTTTCACCGGCCCACGCTTTTCTCTTTCACCAAGTCACACCTGCGGTATAACCTCACTTGCCCAAAGGACCTGGAAATAAAAGGTTAACCTTTTGGGAACTCTACTAAGAGTAGACCAAAAAAGGGAAAACCAAAATGTCAGAAGGTCGTCTTTGAACAACTGAGTACCGGAAAAAGGCCACAGCCAGGATGGAATGGAGCGAGCTGCTCTCAGATCGCGGAAAACCAGTTTCGCCAAGCCACTGTCCTCTTGGACAACAAAATGTCACCCGGAATGATGAAAACCAAACCGAAAATTCTTGGAGCCTCCTTCTTCTTGAAAAACCGAACTCACCGAAAACAGCCCACGAAGCCGCTTCTGCTATGAATTTGCCTATGGCTTTGGGTGTCAGAATATGGCCCCCACAAAAATGAGATGGTTCCTTTTAAAAACCCCTTTGGTGGTCCTTTACACCAAAAAAAAGATGTTCATTTTAAACCCCAAAAAAATGTTGATCCTTTTTCCTTTGGTTAGCCGGAAAGGGTTCCCTCAGAAAAGAGACACACCCAATGTGCCAGCCCAACTCACGCTCAGACCCTCGTCGCACTCCATGACAAAGAACATGAAGCCTCGGGAGGCGCTCGGCGCTCGCCCGAGGGAGACCTCCTCTTTGGTTCCACGTGAAGCTGCCACAGGTGGCCGTTTTGGACAAAAATCGATGGGTTCCCCTGGTCGATGGAATAAAACCACCAGGTAGACCAGGAATCGCGTTCCCCTGGTGAATGGGGCACAGCACCAAAATCCAAACCAGTGGAACCCATCTACTTTTAGCCGAACGAACCTGAAAAGGACACCTATGCCTGTGAGTACCAGATCTCTCCTTTTTCTGGCTGAGAAACCCTGGCGCAGTCGGATCTGTTGGGAAAGGGTACCCACGCTCATGTCTTCTCCAAAGAAACAACCTACTACCAGTAATTCTTCTCGGTTGCTCGTTTGTTTCCAAAAGGTCCCTGCGGGGCCTTTGTTGTGACCCGAAAAACCAGCCAAGTTGCTATCACACATGGCCGGTGTGATTTTGGATTCCGTTCCAGTCAAGAGATAGCCCCAATTCTTGGACACACGAAATCAGGCTGGGGCGGCGGACGAGTCCGCTTCTGGAAGGACCTTTTTTGCAGGGGCCATGCCAACCCCTGACCATCCAAACCACCTGTGTGGAACAAGGAGATAAGCGACGACTCGTGACAAGACCGGCCTGAAGAAAGATCCCGTTTCTGTCCAGCCTTGCAACTTGTCCCGCACCGCAGTTTCCAATGTGGCCTCCATCAAAAAACCATCCAAGAAGAAACACCAACCCAAAAGCAGGCAGGGGTTCAAGGAGTAAGGTGTCCCTGCAAACCACCCGGTGCACCGAGAAAGTCACCCAGTTGACCAGCCGATTCCACCCAGAATGTTGCCTTCAGGGCCCCCAAGTCTCAGAGACGAACTCTGCAAGCTGAAGGGATTTGTTGGTTCCATGATGATCTGGGGTGGCTTTGTTGGTTGAATCTCAACATCGCCTAAGTCCAATGTATTTGTCCCCCACGTCTCCAACTCCGGGGGAAAAAAAAAACAATCCCAACCAAATCCGCTCAACGATCTCGGGGGCTCCGGCGGCCCTGCTCGTAAGTCTCCAGGAGCTTGCAGATGTTCGGATGGTCCAAGTCCTGCGGGCGGACTTTGCTGCTCGAATTCGAAGTCCAAGTCGATGCGACGTTTCCATTTTCGGGACATGGGCAGGACTCGCGAAATTCTCCCCTTGGTTGACGTTGGAAGGGAACATTTTTGCAAGTTAAGTGGGGATGTCCCACTAAACCACAATAAGCAAAAATGTAAAATGCTCCCCACAAGAACCGACAGGTAAAAGAAAACGACCCACAGCCCCTGACCCTTGTCCAGCACGAAAACGGGTCAAGGATCCCGGTCCTTCATGATCTGGGCCTCCTGTAGGAACGCCTTCTTTTTGGCCTCCTCAAAGATGATCACCTCGCTCGGGTATTCGGTTTCAGAGCGAGCGAGCCGCTCGTGCAGCTTTTGCTTGTTCGCTGAACGCTTGCTGTGCGGTGCTGTGGTGTGCGCTGTTGTTGTGTGGCGCCTTTATGTGTCAACAAACGGCCGTGTGTTGTACTATCCACGCGAGACGGGTACATGTAGGTTCGTCCTGTTTAAGACTGCTTGGGAGGGTGGTTCAAAAGGGAAATCAAGAGGAAATGACTCCCTAAACTGACGTCCACCGTTTGGGCTCCCGAATAAAACCTCGCAGATTCAAGTCGTCCCTTTTCGTGCCCATGGCACCTTGGTACGGTCCATCTCTTTTCGTCCCCGCCCAACAACAAAAAACGCAAGGGTCCTGACCCCTCCAATGCACCCCCGGACCCCATGCAGAACCCCGACTGGGGCCCTTGAAAACAAGCGAAACCCCCCAAGGGGGGGAAGGAAGAAGCGGACCTTCCGGTCACAGGTGTCCTTTTCGGAAAATAGATGGGTTTCCCTGGTAGATCATTCAACCACCAGGTAAACCAGGAATCGCCCAACCTATTTTTTCTACCCAAAACCAACCAAAAATTGAAACACCTATGGGATGTACGGTTGCCGGTTCCCCGGCGCGGCGCTTCCGCCCGGCGCCTTCTTGATGGCCACCAGCCGGTCCTTGAGCTGCCGATCCCTCGCCACGAAAACCTGCGACCGGTCGACCGGTCACCCCGACCGGGCGGAGCCGGGCGCCGACCAAAAGGCGCCGAATAGAAGGGGAGAGAAAAATTCCGGCTGTGGTACAGGGATCCTTACAGTGAATACACCTGAACATTGCAACTTGTAAATGGTGGTTTCCCTTTGTTTTGGTGGACAAGGCCATGTTTCAAATTGGCAAAATGTATCTTTTAAGGAGCCCTGTGGTACTGTACCCAAAATGGGACCCTGGTAAATGGATTCTTGAAAAATGGATTAAACCGGTGGTTTTATATCCGGCTGTACCCTACACGAAAAGCGGCCTTTTGCCCAGAAATGCGGCGGAGGGCGAAATTTGCGAAACTCGCACCACTTGGCTGTGGGTCAAAAATACGTACCCAAATGGACCAATGGTACATGGAAACATGGACTAAACTCGCGGTCCCATTCCGAGTGGTTCAATTTTGACCCACACCCATCCGGCCTTATGCACCAAAAAGGTTCCAAGGACTTCCCATTTGTTCGCCCTGGAAAAAAATGAGAGAAGATGTGTCCGGTGAGATCGATTCCCTTTCGAGCCACAAAGGGAAATAAAGCAGATGTTTGAGCAAATAGAAGAAGAACCGTCTTCTCCATCCTTGTCGGCTTCTAGGATTGGAGGGAGGGTACACACATGGATGTGCATAGAAACCCTTTGCAACGAGGACAGTCTTAGAGTCTTGCAAACGCCTCTGCACTTCCATCTTCCTCAGCAGGAACCCTCAAAAAAGGTTCCTTTCCCCGAAACAAACTTCCACTGGATGGCGGTTTGGCTTCCATGCCACAATATGTGAAATGGGTGTGGCTCAAAATTAAACAGGAGGGGTTACGCAGGTTTTGAGCCACAGCCACATGTGTACAATATCGCGTTGGCGTCCCCTCCAAAAAGGCTAAGGTTTGCTTTTTGTTTGCCATCGCAAATGTCTTTTTCTCGGCGTGACTGAACGCACGAGCCACACTCAAAGCCTGGTACTCAAATGGTGAACCCAGAACCATGCTTCAAGAATGAAGAAGGCGGCCGCAGCTATTTATGGCTGCAAATTGGCCCTTACTCACCTTCATCTACCTGGCTCACATGTACTTTGACATAAACCCGCATGCAGCAAATCCTCCTGCCGCAGAACTAGGGGAATGGCCTTCTTGGCTCCTGCGCGGCCTTCAGTCCATCCGTACAAGCTAGGGCGGGAACATCCGGCCATGGGTCAAAACCCAAATCGTACCCCTAGTGAACATCCCAATCCAACCACTAAAACAGGTTCTAAAATGTGTGGTGCATTGGTCTTGATGTCTCTGTTGTGGGTCCCCATTCCTGGAAACCAGCCCGTTGCTTGGGGAATTCCAGGGCGCTTGAAAACGATGACTTTTTCCTCTGGTCTACCACGGAAACTGCAAGAAGGTCCCAAAAAAAAAGGAAAGAACTAAAATTGCTTGTTTTGGTTTGGTTTCCCTTTGAAAAACCAAATTCAAAGGAGGTTCTCCATCAAAAGAAACCCCATGTATAACAACTCGGTCCTTTGAAGAAAATAACTCCTTCCTAGAATGATTGCAATTCAGATTACAAGCACCAAACAACCCGCGGGTCCTTACATGGCAAAAGGAAAACAGATACCCGTCCTCCCCAACATGGGAAGGCGGGCACTTGGAAGATCAGCTTCCACTTGGGACGCCTGTCAGGTGCCATGGCAACTCGTCGCATTTCCTGAGTGGATGGTCAAAAATAAAAGTCCGAGGTGGTTGGGTGCCACAAGCCCAAAAAGTGACATCAAAGTCTACCAACTTACTGAAAAAAAAGAAGCTCAAAGAGAATCGGGAAAAAGCCGCCCCCGAATCGGACGCATCCCGAGGCGGCCTTGCCGTAGCCGCCGGACCCAATCTCGTTCTTGTCGATGTCGTAGCGCCTCGATTCGTCGCGTCTCTCGCAAAAAGAAAAAGAACACGCCGAGCTTTTGGGGGCATGTTTGGGGGTGGCAGGGGAAGAGTCCTCCCCAAACTACTTCTCTTTCTCTCTCCTTCTAACTCTCGCTCTTTCCTTTCTGCTGTTTTCTTTCTTTTCCTTTCTCTTTTTATTTTCTCTTCCTCTCTTTTATGTTTCTTTCGTTTTCTCTCTCGCTCTCTCTTTCTGTCGCTGCGTCCTTCGGGGTGAAAACTCCCCCGGCCGCACGAGCCAGTCTCTCTCTCTCTCTCTCTCTCCAGCCAAAGCTGGAGCCAGACACCTGAAAAAGGCGCCGCCAAACTCGGCGAAACAACAATGGCCGAAAGAGCCTCGAAGAATCCACCCGGCTGCCCGTGCTCCGTGCTCCGGCGTTTCGCTCCATGAGATTCCCATCCGCTTTTGGGGGATCCTTAAGAGGTTCCACTCCTCCCCCTTCATATTGCGCCTTCTGCCTGGTTGGCTTCCGTCCAATTCGGGGGCCCGGCTTGGAGATCTCCGCGTTGACTCGCTTCGGCATGAAGGCCTTCGCGTCGAACTTCCTGGAGAAATCCACCCGTCGATCTCGACCACACAAAAATTCGGATCTTGCGAAAACAAGACAAAAACAAAAAAAAAAAAAAAGCGTGAACTGAAAAAGCCAGGCTTCAAACTCCTTCACGCTAAACTATGAATCGCGCGAATCTGGATTCAACCCCAACGTAAAATACCTTTATGGGGTGCAGACAACATAGGCCCTGCCCATCCCCAAAAAAAAAACACACAGGGTTCTGTCTTCTTTTTGGGGGGACCCCCAAAGACGGTGGTGTTCCTTTGGTTTCCCTTCGAACCAACCTCAAAAAGGGTCCCTCAAACAACAGACCCAACTGACCTCGCAGTGTCTCTCAGTCCTAGGGTCGTCCATTGAACTCGCCCGTCGCGACCTGTGGGTTGTTGACCCAAGTTGGGATTGGCTTTCTTTCGTCTGTTGAGGACACCAAACAAATTGCGGGGTTGGCTGAAAGGGAGACAAAAGGGAAACCATTCACTGGAAGGAGATCCCCTATTTTGGTTGCAAGCCCCATTCTGTTGAGGAGGCCTCTGGGTTCTACCGCAACGTGGCTGTGAGGGTCAAAATGATGGGAGTGGCCAGTATCAAATGTGCAGTGGAACATGGGAATCTGCAACTGGCTAACTAATACGATATGTGCCCAAAAGTATCAAAGTAAACGATGTGGTCTCAAAAGAAACAAGGTGGTCAAGTTGTCTCAAACAGGACCACCCAAATCTCAGTGTCCCTCTAATTGGTTTGGATTTGTGATTTGGAGGTGCTTTTAAAGGGCAGTTTCCCATATTTACCCACAAAATCCAGGGGGTCAAATCCAAATCCGGTTCTGCGGGATCCGGGGTCAGAAGCGCTGTCACCCTACTGGGGGCACTGGTGGTGATGGTCCAGCTGTCTACCTGAACACCCCCTTTTCAGAAAAGGAAAAGTATTTCTAGTCTGATGCAAAAGCAGATGTTTGAAAATTGCCCAAGCAGATGTTTGGGTCAGCTTGCATGTTGTGCCGGCTTTGTCGGACCCCCGGTTTCAAAAAAAGATGTTGAAAAGCCGTCGGTCAGTCCCTTCAACTTGATTCCTCGGATTGAATTGCGAGGTTCGGCGCGCACTCGCCTGCCCGTGGCATCGCTGGCCGGAGACGACGGGTCCTCAGCGACTCATTCCAGCCAATGTTGACCACGGATTAATAAACCCCCTGTTTATTAAGATATGGGGGGTGTTCCCCTCCAGAAGTGATAAATCTGATAAATCCCCACAACCAGGGACACGCCCCATATGAATGAAAAGGGGGTTATCAAGGGTCAGCATTATGTGGTCCACCATGGAGCCCTCCTGTGGCGGGACGGGAGGGCTCAATGGCGTGGCTCCGTGCCGTCTACCCTCAGAAGCAAGCGGCAAGCGGGGGGAAATCCTCAAGGCTGCACACGAGGACCGGCGAAGCGAAGCATACGACGCGATTTCACCAAGAGAAAAAGGCAAAAAGTCGCTGGCCCGCTGGCCCGAGTGACTTTAGAAAGCAAAACTGGGGACGCGAGTGTCTGGGCGCGGCTTAAACAGAGCTGTGCCCAAATTGGATAAACCCCAAGGAGCTTCGGCGGCTTCGGCCACGGGTTTGTGGATACATTTCAACGCTGTCTCATGCTCATGGGACAATCACGTTCGCAACTATGTATCCCTCAATTTTCTTATCAAAGGAGGTTTAGACAGGAAACTTCCAAAGAAAACGAAAAGTTGAATGCGCAAAGTGGCAGGAGTCGAAAGAACCACACACAGAAAGTGACACCAGAAGTGAGAAGTAGAAACAAGAAGATAGAGAAGAAAGCGCAGCATATTGCGGCTGGCGAGATCGCGAAGGCTACCTCTGTTTGGCGCGTCGGCTTGCCACGGGTTCGCCACGGCCTCACCACAGTCTCGCCACGGTCTCAGAAGGTTGCCCAGTGGCACGGCTGCGCAATGGTTTCGCAAGGCAAGGTCAGGCACAAATTTCGTGGCAGGCGCAGCGCTTTCGCAAGGCCAAGTACAGATTTGGTGGCAGGCGCTTTCGCAAGGTCGGGTACCGATTTCGTGGCGGCGGCGCACTTTGAGAGAGATTGTTGGGTAGATAGGTAGATAGGTAGATAGATAGATAGATAGATAGAGACTGATAGGTAGGTAGAGAGAGGGAGAGCTAGATAGATAGATAAGTAGATAGATGGATGGATTGTTCTTCAAGGGAGAGAGAGAGAGAGAGAGAGAAACAGAGGGAGAGCGAGGGGGAGAGATAGATGGATGGATAGGTAGATTGATAGACAGATAGGTAGAAGTAGATAGATGGCACATGGACAGCGAGAGAGATAGATGGATAGATAGGTGGGCGGATAGATAGATGGAATTTGTAGACACATAGATAGATAGACAAAGAGGTAGATAGATAGATTGACATAGAGAGAGAGAGAGAGAGCACGATATGTAAATAGAAAGAAAGAAAAAAGAAAGAAAAAAGAAAGAAAGAAAGAAAGAAAGAAAGAAAGAAAGAAAGGAAGAAAGAAAGAAAGAAAGAAAGAAAGAAATAAAGAAAGAAAAAAATAAAGAAAGAAAGAAAGAAAGAAAGAAAGAAAGAAAGAAAGAAAGGAAGGCAGGAAGGCAGGAAGGACGAAATAAAGACTGGCTCCTGGCCCTTTAGGTGTTCCTGCTGGGTAATGCACAACATGCAAAAAAAATTGCAAGCTCTTCACAATGAAGTCGTCCCCTTTCCAAACACTGTAGGCATAGTACCTTCAGAAACTTCCGAGATCCAGCTTCGCTGGAGTAATAAACCCGGGTGATTTTGATCGGGTGTCCCCTTTTAGTGGGGATTCAGACCACTTTTGGAGGGGTTTCCACCCCCCTAATAATGGGAGGGGTTTATTAATCCGGGGTCAACATTACACCTTGTCATGGCTTGGTTGCTGTTGACCGCTCCGCAAAAGATGATTCACTTGTTGTGGCTTCAATACGGCAAACATCACCAACTTGATTCCCACCAAAAAGTTAAAGTCCAAAGATCAGTGACCAAATACTTCCATTTGGTTAAGACCTCTGGAAAAAGTAAACATACTTCCAGTTGTGATAGATTCCCTTTAAAACCAACAGGGGAAAATGAAAAAATATTCTTAAGCAAATGGAAGAATAGCACTCAACATGGTCGGGCCTTTTCTCCCGACCTCTTTCATGATTGTGGAGTCACGGCTCCGACCCCCGCAGGTATGCGAAGTATGCGAAGCATGCGAAGCTGGGAGGCGATTTTTGTTTGAGACACCTATCCAGAAAAAACGACCGTAGCCATGCGGCTATGAATCCAAGTAGGAAACCACCTCCCATTTGCTTCAGCCCCCCGGAAAACAAAATTGGAAGCCTCTTAAAAACGTGGTCTTAAAAAACCGTTTCTGACCATCCCTACCCCAACGAACCGATCTTTCCATGGCACTTGTGCCCCTTGGACCAAGGCGGGCCAGCCCCTTGCTCCTTCCCTTTGGGCCTTGGGGACCCCCGAAAACGTAAAGTCAGACGATCCAAGCCGAAGTGTCAACACTTCAAAAGAAATCATATCAACAAAAAAAAGGGGATGCCGGCCCCTGATGCTAATCATAGGATCCACACCACCCTCTGAGAAGGCAATATATAACCAAAAATAGACACGTAGGATACTCTCCGGATCTCCGCCCATTGCCCCGCTCCGGCGCCCCCCCGGGTATTCCTCGAAAAATATTCTCTCGCTCGCTCCCTGCTGGGGCTAAGCCCCGGGGCCAGCTTGAAGGTGACGCCGCGGCTGGGCAGCGGGCTCACCATCTCGTTGGTTCCTCGAACCATCCGACGGGCGCGCGCGCCGACGAGCGGACCGACGCGCGCGCCGACGCGGAGAGTCGGGTGGGGTTTGGGAGGTGGTCCGTTGCGATCGGAGGGGAGCCGAGGAAAAAAAAAAAAAAAAAACATAGTGGCGGAAGATAAATGATAGGAAAACAAGGAAGACAAAGGGGAGCCCCAAGCTCTGGATGTGTCCGTAACAAACAGGCACAAAGAGCACTCGAACAAAAAGGCACGTCCGAATAGGGGCGAAACTTGCTGCAAACGCAGGGGCCGTTTTTGGGTTGAAAGCAAAACACAAGTTCCGTGTTCTGGTACAACCTCAATAACTGGAACCAAACAAAAGACGAACGGCCAGGACTGGACACCAGGCGCGGAAGTTCAGTCGGGTGGGAACTTGGAAACTCTTCTAGAAACTGGATTCGAGGAACCCCGTGCGAAGGATTAAAAAAAAGAACGGATCATTCAAGGGAAGGGGGGAGCCAATGGTACTAACTGCTGGGCATTGGGGACAGGTGGGGGGCTTGAGAGCCTGAGTTACTCTGACCACTCTGCCCCAGAAAGAAAAGGAATATTCTGCAGCGATTCCCTTCAGCCGATCTCACGGCTGTGAGCATAGCTGACCTTTTGGAAAAACCAACGGATGGCCCATTTTTAGTGGAAACAAAAACCAGTGGAAAGCCGATCTCTTCCCAACCGAACCAGTCTTCCAGTCTTCCCGCAGCGAACCTTCAGCCGAGTCTCTGCGAAGCAGCATCAGCCGCGGCGGTCCGCCCGCCGAAGCCCCGTGCTCGAGAACAACAAGTTAAAGCGCCGTGTCTCTGGGCGCTCCGATGATTCAGGAAGTGCCGCTCGCGTACGGCTCATTCTTAACCCCGCGCTCGTTTCTAAGTCCTCTGGAGATCGCACACGGAACATCTGTGGAAAGGGCTGGTGTCTCACCAGTACCCGATGCCATTCCAAAGCAAATCAGGTCAAGGATACTGTTGGCTGTGCTTTTTGGTGGCTCTGCACCGGTCCTGAACCTTGCGGCCAAGTGGACCGAATGGGAGGGTGCTCGTCTCTCTAAGCCCGTAAAATTATTGACCTGTCGAGCCAAACCGGAGGCGCGCAGGTCCGCTGAACCTTCCTGGCTGCGCTTCTGAACCCGAGCTGGCGTTTCTGGTTCCAACTTCCAACATGGCTACAGGTTTTCATACTGTGGATGGACAAAATCCTGCACCACTTGGAAACCATGGGAAACCATTTTTTGTTGGTATTCACGGGGGAATCATCATTCCAGGCTTTCTTAGGTGGTGCAGGATTTCGTCCATCCACAGTAGCTCTCGCCGGAGCCTTCTTGACACGTCCCCGGTGTGCTCATTACCATAGGTGGCCTTTTTGAAACATAGATGGCCCTGGTCAATGGAAGGAACCCCATCTAAACCAGTGCCATCTATTGTTCATCAAACTAACCTAAAAAGGACACCTATGCTCATTACTGCTTGCTCACCGAGCACAACCGGATAGAACCAGCTGCCAAATGGGGCTGTCTCTCCCCTTCGATCTTTGAACTCCCAGTAGCCCCCCGATTCCGCTTTCCCAACGAAGACAACATCCATGGAAGTGTCTCTGCCAATTTTTGTTGCGTGGCTTGAAAGGGAAACCAAAAGGGAGACCACGCATTGATTTGTTTTTGTGTTGTTTTTTGTGGGGGTCTCTGTTTTGAGCAAACCCGTTTCTGCCAGCAGCCAACCTTGGCTGAATCGAATCATGCCACGCCCTCTTGGTGGCACAACGAAGAAGCCCTGACCAGAAACATACAGTATGCCTGCATCGCTAGAACAGGCGACGCTGGCCAAAGGGGCATGTCAAAATGGGGCGATCGATCTGCTTCGAGGAGTGTACATTAGCGCAAAGTGATCGCTGGACAGCTGCAACGATACGTTTCGAATCGGAAACAGGCTCCGAAAATTATGACACTATGTGACCATCATGGCATAGACTGCATGTGTTGCACTGGCAAAGGACCGGTTCCTTAGGGTTATCAGGGATAGTCATCCACTTAACAACCATTGCAATGACTAGTAAGGGAATTATCACCATAGGCCAAAAACACGAGTTTCAACCATGGCACATGTGTTTTCTGGAAAGTTTGGGGAGTGGAAACCCTCGAGACGTGCTACCAACCCACAGCTCCCTTCCTGCAGCTTGGTTCCCGGAGCCCGGAACCAAGCACCTAGTGCAAAGGGGCTCCGAACTTTGGTGGAAGACTTTTTGACTTTTTGACTTTGTTGACTTTTTTGGCTTCTTGACTTTTAACTTGTTGACATGTTTTGACTTGTTTTGACTTTTTGACTTTTTGACTTTTTGACTTTGTTGACTTGTTTGGCTTCTTGACTTTTAACTTGTTGACATGTTTTGACTTGTTTTGACTTGTTGACTTTTTGACTTTGTTGACTTGTTTGGCTTCTTGACTTTTAACTTGTTGACATGTTTTGACTTGTTTTGACTTTTTGACTTTTTGACTTTGTTGACTTGTTTGGCTTCTTGACTTTTAACTTGTTGACATGTTTTGACTTGTTTTGACTTTTTTTTTGACTTTGTTGACTTGTTTTGACTTTTTTGTTGACCTTCTTGTTTTGACTTGTTGACTTGTTTGACTTTGTTTTGACTTGACTTGTTGACTTTTTGACTTTTTGACTTTGTTGACTTGTTTGGCTTCTTGACTTTTAACTTGTTGACATGTTTTGACTTGTTTTGACTTTTTGACTTTTTGACTTTTTGACTTTTTGACTTCTTGACTTTTAACTTGTTGACATGTTTTGACTTGTTTTGACTTTTTGACTTTTTGACTTTGTTGACTTGTTTGGCTTCTTGACTTTTAACTTGTGTTTTGACTTGTTTTGACTTTTTGACTTTTTGACTTTTTGACTTTGTTGACTTGTTTGGCTTCTTGACTTTTACTTGTTGACATGTTTTGACTTGTTTTGACTTTTTGACTTTTTGACTTTGTTGACTTGTTTGGCTTCTTGACTTTTAACTTGTTGACATGTTTTGACTTGTTTTGACTTTTTGACTTTTTGACTTTGTTGACTTGTTTGGCTTCTTGACTTTTAACTTGTTGACATGTTTTGACTTGTTTTGACTTTTTGACTTTTTGACTTTGTTGACTTGTTTGGCTTCTTGACTTTTAACTTGTTGACATGTTTTGACTTGTTTTGACTTTTTGACTTTTTGACTTTGTTGACTTTTTTGGCTTCTTGACTTTTAACTTGTTGACATGTTTTGACTTGTTTTGACTTTTTGACTTTTTGACTTTTTGTTGACTTGTTTGGCTTCTTGACTTTTAACTTGTTGACATGTTTTGACTTGTTTTGACTTTTTGACTTGTTTGACTTTGTTTTGACTTTTTTGACTTTTTGACTTGACTTGACATGTTTTGACTTGTTTTGACTTTTTGACTTTTTGACTTTGTTGACTTTTTTGGCTTCTTGACTTTTAACTTGTTGACATGTTTTGACTTGTTTTCACTTTTTGACTTTTTGACTTTGTTGACTTGTTTGGCTTCTTGACTTTTAACTTGTTGACATGTTTTGACTTGTTTTGACTTTTTGACGTTTTGATTTTTTGACTTTGTTGGCTTCTTGACTTTTAACTTGTTGACATGTTTTGACTTGTTTTGACTTGTTTTGACTTTTTGACTTTTTGACGTTTTTGACTTGTTTGGCTTCTTGACTTTTAACTTGTTGACATGTTTTGACTTGTTTTGACTTTTTGACTTTTTGACGTTTTGACTTTTTGACTTTTTTGGCTTCTTGACTTTTAACTGTTTGACTTGTTGACATGTTTTGACTTTTTGACGTTTTGACTGTTTGACTTTTTGACGGTTTGACTTTTTGACTTTTCCACTTTTTGACTGTTTGAGAGTTTGACTTTTTGACTTTTTGACTTATTGACTTGTTTTGTTCTTTGACTTTTTGACTTTTTGACATCTTGACTTCTTGACTTCTTTGACTTTTTGACTTTTTGACTTTTTGACGTTTTGACGTTTTGACTTTTTGACTTTTTGACTGTTGGACTTTTTGACTGTTTGACTGTTTGACTTGTTGACATGTGTTGACTTGTTTTGACTTTTTCACTTTTTGACGTTTTGACTTTTTGACTTTTTGACGTTTTGACTTTTTGACTTTTCCACTTTTTGACTGTTTGAGAGTTTGACTTTTTGACTTTTTGACTTATTGACTTGTTTTGTTCTTTGACTTTTTGACTTTTTGACTTTTTGACTTTGTGACTTTTTGACTTTTTGACATCTTGACTTCTTGACTTCTTTGACTTTTTGACTTTTTGACTTTTTGACGTTTTGACGTTTTGACTTTTTGACTTTTTGACTTTTGGACTTTTTGACTGTTTGACTTTTTGACGTTTTGACTTTTTGACTGTTTGACTTCTTGACTTCTTTTGACGTTTTGACTTTTTGTTTTTTTGCCGCCAAATTGGGCCAAACCCGAAAAAGAAAGCACCTGAAATCCCAGCCCCTCCCCCCTCGAGCTCGCTCGCTCTCAGCGGGCTTTTCTATGCTTGGCCTCAAGGATCGACTGTGAAGGGGCCAGCGCCCTTGGCGCTGTCTGTGAATTCATCAATCCACCAGCCCCCCTTGGTTCAAACCACTCGAACTCGCACTCACATCACTCTTCCTTGGCCTCTTCCTCCTTGGCCTCTTCCTTCTCTTCCTGCAAGTGGGGCTTCGAACGAAAATTAGGGATTTGTCTTTGCTGGGGATTCCACAAACCAGAAGCCAGGAGCAAATCAACCACTTTGTGAGGAAAGTCTGCTAAAGCCCCCCATCTCCTGCGTCGCTTTCCATCTTCTCTCAGTCCCGTGATCCCTTGCCAAGGGTGAAACTCTTATTGGCACATGTCATAGATCCAACTCAGAATGCAAAGTCAAGGAACCGTATTGGCCCAAAATGGTGCCTTGTGGTCTGGTGGAAAAGCGATGTGTGGAGATTGCAAAGTCGTACCATTCACAAGGCCCTTGATCCAATCTCTGAACGCCGCCTTGGTCTCTTCATCCTCCTTCTTCTTCTCCTCAAGGGACCATCACATGGTAAGGTCTGCCCAAAAATCAACACTTGGGCTCTGGCTCAAAGCCCCAATCCACGTCAAAAGGTTGGGCCCGTCCTTTTTTCTTAAGGTATCCTTCTTGCGGGGCGTTCGTCAAGGGAAAGCCAAAGAAAACAACAGTTCAAGGGAGAAAAGGGCACCACTGGTCTGGATGAAGTACTCTCAAGTAGGACCAACTTCTCATTAAAGTCATGTTATCAGTCCCCTAAGTGGGCAAGATATAACCAGGGTTACCAACCAGTTGAAAGCGTGCAGCTGATCGATATCTCAGGCTCCTTTTCGGATACATCCGCAAAACACCTGCGGACCTGCTTCACAGGGGAACCCTCTGAACAAGCAGGCAATATTTGTTTTTGTTTTGTTTTTTTTGGACTGGCCTACATGTTGTCTCCTTCAAGGGACCCTCCAACAAGAACTCCCCTTCTTTCACAAGCACTAACCCGCAACGTCTACGGACTTTGCTGCTTTGGGTGCGTGCGGGTACTCGACGTGATGTTGGAAGCTTGGGCAACACCTACGCCTCCATCTCTTTGGCTTCTAAGGTTTCACCGCGACAGAATTTCAGGTCATGCCACGAGCAGTCCAAAGCCACTCACCACGTCAAACCTGAAGAGAATCATCAGATCAAATCAGCTTCTTTGGGCCCATGGCTGACAATGGAAACCAAGACAGGATAACCCAAAGATCAAAAGCACGCGCCTCGATCTCGTTGAGACCCTCCAGGATCGCTCGCTTCATGTCTTCGCGCTTCTCCTCCCACTCCTTGACCTTGGCCTTGTACTCCTGGCGCTCGATTCGACTCCGACGGGCTCCGAGACTCCGAGACTCCAACACTCCGACCGAGACGGACGTTGACCCACACCGAACTCCAGAGAGAAGACGAGCCTCGCTTTTTTCAGCGGACAAAGGAACACGTGGAGAGCTTCTACCACTATGCCGCCAAGGCCAACAGAACCCTCCCCAATCAGCCGCAGGCCATTAACTGCCTCAAGCGCCCTTGGGTGTTTCTCGGCAACCGAGTCCAGGCGGTTCTCCTTTTTCCCCTTGAAAGCCAAAGGCTCCGATTTTCCGATTTGAAGAAACAGACCCAATTGCACAAGCACCCCAAGCTTGAGTCAATTGTTTCTCCGAACTTAGGGGCCTGTTGAACACGAGAGCTGTGTCTTTTCGGCTTCTCTTTTGTTCACCCATGCAAAAGAAAGGAATAAGCCGGAACCCAACAAGAAACGGTTGGGGTTTCCAAAAAAAAGGAACCAGAAAGGATGGGGAGAGTCCCCCCAAACCAGGTTGGCGTCTTTTGGGATTCCCTTGAAACCACCCCGCCAAAGCGGATCGACTCGTCGACGGACTCGACTCGACTCGACTCGACTCGGGGACTGGACGTCCTCAAGCTGACCCTCGAGCTTCTCGAGCAGAGCAGGCACCTCCTCCGTGGACATGGGAGCATCCAGCTTCAGCCTGAGACAAAAAAAAGGACGCCGCATGGGTCGGTCGAATTTATGAGTTGGTACCCTTTTTGCAAGTTGGTTTCAAGGGAAACCAAAGGGGAAACAGGGGTTTGCATGGTTGATTGGGTCATGCTTCCTGTAGAGAAAATGATTGCTACCACGTGGATGACCACTTGGAAACCCTTACAGCGTCTCAAAGGAAAGCCCCTTAAAGTGGCGCAGCGGTTGTGCCTTTGGTCTCTCCCTCCGAAGAGACCAAGAAGCTCCTCTAAGCAGAGTCCCAACAAAACAAACTTGGGCCAAATAGGACATAACTTTCAACGACAGGACCGAGCGCCCCCACAACCCCCACCCCCCACCCCCCACCACCAACTTCCCACGCCAATCCAAACCGCCCAGGCGCTGGTCGAACAAGCGGAAGGTCTTGGCGTCGTGCTTGATGGACTTCGCCGTGGGCTCCGTCGCGCTCTTCTTGGCCTCCGGATCGGAAGCGAGGCGTCCGTCGAAAGTCGGCATTGGGGCGAGGAGGTCTTCTCGCGATTCGGGGAGGTGATGGGAGGAGTGGGGTCTCCCATTCCATTTATCTAGCCTTCCCTATGAAAGGGAAAATGGGTTACAACAAAAATGGAGATCCCCAGGCCGGATTTGGGGTGGGGAAGGAGTGGCTGGCTGGATTTCTAGAGCCAGCTCCTGGATGGCCCTTTTCTTCAGGCGGTGCACCCTCCTTTTGGTTGGATGTTGAAGGGAAAACCAGATAAAGCATGCTTTTCGTCTTGTTTTTTCTCTTTTTTGGGGGCTCCCCCCCAAAAAAAAAAAATCGAGCGGTTCGGCTCGACCCTCGCGCTGAAGAGCGCGAAGGGGCTTCGAGTTCTCCCGGGGGCGGTTTTGGCCAGGCTGGGGCCAGGGAGGGGGCGACTCGACGCGAGTGAGTCGCGCGCCCAACGAGTTCTTTGCTTGGGCTCCAAACTCTCACTTGCCCAAAGCACCTGGAAATAAAACTTTGAACAACTGAGAACTTGGAGGGTGGGTCGGGCACTCCTCCCAAACACGTTCCAGACCTTTCGTCCCGCGGGCCCGCGGTCGCCTCTCTCGGCACAACAATTGGGAGCGCAACACCCGGCCTTGGTCTTCTTGCCCTTGGTGGGCGCGAAGTAATACTCCTCCTCTCTGTCCTTCCACGCTCAGGCCTTTGGTTTCCTGTGAGGGTGCCTCAAGGAAACCTCTGCAACACATGAGCCACGGTGAAAAACCACGTGATTCCTCAACAACACGGTCGTGGTGCGGTTGAAATGTAAAGAAGTTGTCCCCCCAGTGCCTCAACTGGAAACTTTCGGAATTTCACCGAACTGGTTCGCCACAGTCAAAACCCCGGACTGTGGTCTGAGCTGGGACCCCTTGAAGCAGTTCTCAAATAGTTCCCAGATAGGGGGGTGACAGGGCGGGGAATTTCGTTAAACCCACCCAGAGGACAAGCTTCCATTGCGCGTTTACTCAAAAAAAAAAATGCGGCCCATCTTTGCCCCAAAGTTGGCCCGGCCAGCTTCACTCAAAAAAAAAACAAAGCGCGGCTCGGAGCCCGGTGGCCCGGTGGCCCGGCGGCCCGGCGGGAGTGGTTTCCCTTCACAGGAGCCGGGGCTTTCACTCCCAAATCCAAGCCACCAAACGGTGAGAATCTCAGGGCCGTGGGGAACGGAATCCGCGGATCTGTGATACAAAAAGGGCCTAACCCCAAAGACGTTCAACCCCCCATGAAAAAGGGGGAGACTCCCGAAAGTATCACAGAAGTGGGGAAAAACCCCGAGTGATCCCACAACCCTGGTGAGAGTAGGGTCTAAGAACACCCTCGGGGGGGCGGCTGCTTCCGGCTTCCTCCCTGTGAGAGATGGAGGGTTTCTCAAGATGGGGGACCCCCCACCACAAAAACATGGTGTTTGAAGAAACAGCAAGAACCAGGGGGTCACTGGATTCCCCCTTCAGAAGTTGATCAATTTCGTGGTTTCCATTGAAACGATCGATTTCCGCGTTTGGAGGCTCCCCAAACAGGAAAATAAAATAAAAGAAAAACAGGACCCTGCGAAACCTGGGACCATCTGGACCCGCCTCTAGGTCCAGCACCCCCTTGGAACCAGCGAGTTGCTCCATCCCACACGCTGGGCCATCACTTTCCGGAGCTGGAACCCCCTGACTTTTCGTGGGTGGACATGACTCTCACCCTAGATGATGGTCCAAAGGGTCGCCAATTCAACATCCCTACCCGGTTTCTCAGCGACTTCGGATCAATCCAGAGCCTGGAAAGGCTAAAATCAAAAAAGGTCACCCCCATCTTTGCGGCCTAAAAGCTGATGTTCAACTTAAAAGTCATGTCCGATGTGGTGGGCCCCCGAGAAACAAAAACGCCCTCCGCCACGAGACCTTCCGACTTTCCGTCCTCTTTGCGGAGAAGCACCTCAGAGCCCTCGGGGTTGTTGTGCACGACCTCCTTCTTCTCGTCCTTCTTGTCCTGACGATTTGGCAAACAAGAAAAGATTTACGGGGTAGAGGAGGGGGGGGACTGATGCTAGGGGTCCTTATGTGTCATGCAAAAGCAAGAACACGGGAGGGGGGGGGGGGGGGGGCAAGAACTCGGACTTCCCAGATTTGACTCTTATGGTGTTGGGTTCTTCAAAAATAAGGGGGGTGGGGAGGGGAGCACTTCTTTTGATCTCCGGATTTGTAAATGACCCAAGTTGGCTGATTTGCTTCCCCAAAAATGAAGGGTCATGGCTCCAAGAAGGGTCAATAGGGTAAGCTGCAGAGCCCCGACTCCCCAGAAAGGAAGCGCGCCACCCAAACTTGCTCAATCCTTCTTTCCCAGGCTGCGGCACCTGCATTTGAGGCCTGCGCTTGACGGCTCTTTACATCTAGCCCCACCCCGGCACCCCGTGTTGAGAGTCGTGGCATCGACTTCGGCCAATCGACCTTGAGAGCCTCGCGCCTTCTGCCCCTCGCAGTCTTTTCCCCCGGCTCGTTTGCCCTGCGCCGCGCATGACGCTCAAAAGAGCCTCTAGGCTAGGCTTCGGCACGGGTCCGAACCGAAATCCCGTCCTCCGTCTTCGCCTGGACCAGAGTCTTGCAGAAGTGGATGGTCTGCTCGATGAGCGTGATCTCGGAGATGTAGGGCTGGTCATCCAACTTCTCGGCCTCTTGCCAAGACACGCCCCAAGGTGGTCATGAAGGTGAAAAACAAATGGCCTTACCATAAACTCATAGAACTCACCCCTAGCAGTTGGTCAAGCAAGGTTGATTTATCAAGACCGTTGCTATAAATAACTACCACAAGATAGAAGCATGTGTGTTTTGGAAGGTGTCGCTTCCCAACAGCCCTGGAACCCCCTGGGCAGACACCAAAGCTTTCAGCTGTGTAAAAAAAAATCAAACGCGGCTGACAAGACGACTCCATTCCGGAGGCTTTTGCGGACATACCCCCAGACCTCCGAACGACCTGGGCTGGATTTGTCCACAAGGAAGAGCACCCTTCGGATCTTGGGAACTTTTGGGACGGGGAAGTATCGCAGCCTTCAAACTTGATAGGCGCCACCAGCCTCTGTCGCGGATATGGCCCCAGCCCGGACCAACCCTCGCCCTCAGAGCCCCTTGCAGCGGAAAGCGGAAAAATGTGCCATGGGGATTGCAGGCTCGAGATGCGAAAGCCTACCCTCGAAACCCCCCAAGAACCAAAAAGAAAAGGAAGAAAAAAACAAAAACGCTCGGCGCCCGGTTCCGCGCGCGTCCCTTCCCCCCCCACCCTCTTCGCGCCCGGTGCGACACACGTCTCGCGAGGTGTCGGCGCCTCGCGCTGCTTGCGGCGCAGGTCGTACTCCTTCTGCCGCTCCGCCCGCTCCGCCGCGATCTTCTCCTGGCGCGCCTTCTTCAGCTCCGACTGGCGCGAGAGCAAAGCGGAGCGGAGAGCCGAGCGGAGAGTCGAGCCGAGAAAGCAAAGGGAGGAGAGAAGGTGGAGTCACTCCTGGTGGAGTCACTTTTGGTGGAGGACACTGTGGTGGCGTCGGAATTCGGCGGGGATTCATGTCCACCAAGTGCTTTTGAGGCTTCAACTCTTGAATTGTTCATGGCCGACGGCATGAAAGCAAATGGCAGCTTGTCCGGGTGAGTAAAGGAGATAACTGAACCAAAAAGGCGGGAGTTGTGCCATCTGACTTCAACTGCCCACAAAACTGCTCTTCCCCCCAGAGCAGAAGGCTTGCCCACTGGGCATGAGGTCTAACCTTCTGTTGGTGGAAATGGAAAAGCAATTTGCTTTCAAAAGGTTGCAGGGCCGATTCGGAGAGACCGAACCGCCATGAAAATGCACCAAACGGCCTTCCAACTCTTCTGGACCCCCCCCCCCCTTCTGAACCATCGGAGCCCTCCTTGCATGCCCTCCCCTACGGGCAACTCCAATGCCCCGAAGACCTCCTGAACTGTCCCCTGGACAGTGCCGAATGGGAAAGCAAACTGTTCGCTTCTTCCCGTCTCTAAGCTTAAAACAACTCCTAGCGGAAGCCTTCGGCTCCCTCTTTCAAGTTGGCAAAAGTTTGGCCCTACCAGCTGTTCACCCCGGATTTAGGGGTCCCGCGCTCTGATTCCCCGCATTCCCCCTCCCAAAAAAGAAAACACGCCCGCTTTCATAAACTCGGGTAGAACTACTCCGGGGCCATATCACATTCCCCACATTCGCAACGGGTTTGGGCCCGTTTGGGTCGGATCCTGGTGCCCTGGTGACCCGGAATTCTGGGGGCGAAGTCGGGAAACCCGCAACCCAAGCGCCTGGTAGGCGTTGTACTCCCGCTCCTTCTGGCGGAACTCGTCGCGGAGCTCGTTGCGCTCCTCGAAACACCAAAAGTGAACCAATTTAGTCTTCCATTTGGTTAAGACCCAGGAAAAAAATAAACAACAAATATTTCCAGTAGTGATAGATTCCCTTTAAAACCAGCAGGGGAAAATAATAAGCTCAGGTGATATCCCCAGTGCTGCCTGCGGTGCTCTTTTTAGCGCTGCAGCCCTCGCAGAACCCCGTGGAAGCCTCGTGGAACCCTGGTGGAACCCTCGTGGAACCTTACCTCAGGGCCGCCCCGGACCACCCCGGAGCCTATCTGAGCTGAGACCCCAAAGCTTTCAGCTGTTGGGGAAAAACACGCGGCTTGGTTCCGTTGAAAAAGCCCCTTGTCGTTGGTGTTTGTTTACACTGGGGAAACAAGCTAGTTTAGAGGGGATCCCCCACTCAGACATAAGGCCAGAGATCCCCAATCTCCGGAACCCTTCTGGCGCCCTATATACAGAGCTTGGGCAGAGAGAATTTGGAAGTCTGTGCTCCGCGGCAGCCTCCTAAAAAATGCTTGTCATCCGAAATGACTTGGTACCTCAAGCAAACAAAGAAAAGGGTACCTACCCCCCCCCCCCCCGCCCATTTCAATGGGTGCCATCGGTTTCAACCTGGCTCCGAAGACCTTGGGGTCTCTTTTAGGAGTTTTTTCCCGTGTGGAACAAGCTGGCCAATTTCTGCAAGTGAAAACATGTGTCCTGGATCCAGCTCAAAATAGTCTATCTGCCATGGTTGCCTAAAAGCTGCAACGACTGAATCTGCAGAAGTCGGATCAGCCGGGTTTCTTCTGTGCCTCCGGCTCAACTAGCACTTGCCGAAAGGTGATATTTGAACAACACAAAAAGGGAACAAACAAACGTTTGAGGGTCCAAATGATTGCAAATCAATTCTAACATGTGGCTCCTACTGTCATGACTTGATTTAGATCGGCACCCTCCAAATGCTGTGGTTCCACATGTTAACATTCAAAAACATAAGTGCTGTCCAAAAATGGCTTCCGAGATCATGCTTTGACACATCAACTGCAGTACCCATCCCTTTCCGAAGTTCCCCGAATAGGATGGCTTATGTTCATCTGTGATCTATCCATGTCCCGAAGCAGAACTCCGATCCGTCTCCCTTCCGTCTGGCCGGAGCCAGCCCACCAGCGCTCGCTGCAGCGAAAGCTTGCGATCGGTTCGATAGGCAGGGAATGGGAGATGAATGACCCCGATTTAAACCATCCAACGGGTGGCTTGCTTTCTTCAGGAAACTTTCCAAAACCGGTTCATTCAACCAACAAAAAAACGTCGAAACGAAACTCGGAAGGTCATGTTTCTCATTCCCTACCTGCCTATCAAGCACCAACGATCACAAAAGTTTCTTCTGTCTCGTTGACCCGCCCCTTTTTCCGAAAAGACGACCGGCTCGCATCGCACGTCTCTTCTGTCTACATCCCCCCGCCCCCTTTTTCGAAAAGCCGACGGCTCGCATCGCACGTCTCTTCTGTCTACATCCCCCCGCCCCCTTTTTCCGAAAAGCCGACGGCTCGCATCGCACGTCTCTTCTGTCTACATCCCCCCGCCCCCTTTTTCGAAAACCCGACGGCTCGCATCGCACGTCTCTTCTGTCTACATCCCCCCGCCCCCTTTTTCCGAAAAGCCGACGGCTCGCATCGCACGTCTCTTCTGTCTACATCCCCCCGCCCCCTTTTTCGAAAAGTCGACGGCTCGCATCGCACGTCTCTTCTGTCTACATCCCCCCGCCCCCTTTTTCGAAAAGCCGACGGCTCGCATCGCACGTCTCTTCTGTCTACATCCCCCCGCCCCCTTTTTCGAAAAGCCGACGGCTCGCATCGCACGTCTCTTCTGTCTACATCCCCCCGCCCCCTTTTTCGAAAACCCGACGGCTCGCATCGCACGTCTCTTCTGTCTACATCCCCCCGCCCCCTTTTTCCGAAAAGCCGACGGCTCGCATCGCACGTCTCTTCTGTCTACATCCCCCCGCCCCCTTTTTCGAAAACCCGACGGCCCCCTTTTTCGAAAAGCCGACGGCTCGCATCGCACGTCTCTTTTGTCTACATCCCCCCGCCCCCTTTTCCGAAAAGCCGACGGCTCGCATCGCACGTCTCTTCTGTCTACATCCCCCCGCCCCCTTTTTCGAAAAGCCGACCGGCTCGCATCGCACGTCTCTTCTGTCTACATCCCCCCGCCCCCTTTTTCCGAAAAGCCGACCGGCTTGCATCGCACGTCTCTTCTGTCTACATCCCCCCCTTTTTCCGAAAAGCCGACCGGCTCGCTGGAAATCGCGAGATTTTTGTCGGCTCTGGGCTCCTTGATCTTCTCCTGGATCTCCTTGCCAATGGCATCCCGCTTCTCCATGATCTCCGGGAGGTCCCCCAGCTGAGCCCGGCGGCTCTCCTACGAGAGAGAGCTGTGCGGGGAGGGATGGGAAAGAGGCTATGTTGGGATGTGGGGATGTGAGGATGTAGGGGGGGAGGGGCGGATGTTTTTGGGAGGGTGGGGGGAGGGGGGGGAGGGGGTGGTTTTGGTGGGGAAAACTGGCTGATGGTTGATCAATCTTCCATTTAGGGCAGGGGCTCTGCACGATTTACAGGCTGCAAGCATGGGAAGCGACTCGGTGCTTGGCTCAGTTTGCGCGACGAAGGGAGGCCGATCCGAGTTTCCAGGTCTCACAGGAGCGGTTGGTCCCCTGCTGAAGCCCAGGAACTTCGGGTGGAGCGGAAAACTTGGGCTGGCCGGCAGGCACAAAACTCGGCAGGCTGGGCGCCCGACCCAACTCAAACATGCTTTGAAACAGCCAGTGCTGAAAAGCACAAACATGGGGGGAAATTTTACCCCAACCCAACCCCCATTTTTGCAGAAACGAAAACACCAAAAATCTGCAGTCCCCTTCGTCAGGGCCCCTCAAGGCACACCCACATCGCACGCTTAGCTACATGAACTCCTTGGCAGGAGCCCAAAGACTGGTTGTCCGAGCCCGACCCTGGAAACAGAGTTCAGGAGAAGGCAGAACCAAAGGCGAACCTGATAGCATGTCCCTAACCAGATCTCCAGATACCTCCGAGTCAGATCGAAAAGGCCACCCCATCATCATTTCATCCAGAGACCCAAGCCACCTACGCCCCCGCAACCCCACCTGGAGCTCCGCCATCTGAGCCTGGATCTTCTTCTTCTCCTGCCGCAAATAGCTTTGGCTCGCGTCTTGACATCGTTCCGCCCACCAACCAAAAAAAAACAAAGGGCACCCTCGAAAAGACACCCGCCTCCCAGAAAGAAAGGCCTGGATCCTCAAGGACAAAAACCAGGCCAGGTATGAGTACTGAGACACACCACCTACCGACTGGTACAGAATGTTGCCACCCCACAGTAAGGCCTTCTTGGTGTCGTGATTTCAGGAATACTGTGGATGGACAAAATCCACTTCGCACCAGTTACCAGATAGTTTATCCCAGTGTTCACAGATTTTCGTCCATCCCAACAAAAGGCGCATTGCGTGGACTCTCTTCTCGAGAAGCGTGTGCAAAGTGCGCTTTCCCCGAACCCCACCCTCAAATCGCCAGCCCCCCCCCAAACCAACCCATTTCCAGCCAACTTCTTTCCGGCCTCGCGGAAGGAGGTCATCTCCGTGTTGATGACGGCCTTCTGGTCCTTCATGGACATGCCGGGGTCAAAGTTGGAGAGGTTCCTGACAGCGCCCGGCACAATGCAACCGGGCACCTGGTTCCCTGAGGGCCCCATACCTCCACCCCGTCCACCCCTTCCGCCCCCTTCCGCCCCCTTCCACCCCCCTTCCACCCCTTTTGGTCCCGGAAAACCAACAAAGTTGTACCGTTGAGGTCACCCTTCTGAGAAAAAGAAAAACTCATGAGTTGTTTTCTTGAGGTCACCCCTCTGCCAATGTTGAAAGCTTATGAGTTCTTTTCTTGAGGTCACCCCTCTGCGAATGCTGAAAATGCGGCTTCTGTGTTGGAGTTCTTGTAGAACGGGCGGTATGGTTCAAGCGACTAACCCGGCGGTTACCTCAACCCGTTTGCGGCCTTCCAACCCGGAGGGCCCCAAACTGGAACCCGAAGGTTTGCCTGTGGATTTGCGAGAGAAAGCTCCAGGGTTCATGGGCAAAAACCAACGGGAAGTCAAAAAGGCACAGATCCCACTTTTGGCCCCACTTGGACTTACCAGGGGGGTCCAACTTTCTTAAAAACAAACAAGAAAACAAACTCAGAGGTTCCAACTCTTACAAAATTCAATGCGGACAGCGCTCTCTCTTAAAAAAGAAAAAACTCAGAGGTTCGAACTCTTACAAAACTCAATGCGAACACAAAACATCTCAAGCCAAGGATCTGCTCCATCTGCTGGACCTGATTCACCTTGGAGCGATTCTTCTTCAACATCTTGATCTCGTCCAGCAGCTTCTTCTCCTCAGACAGATCTCTGGCGACAACTTGCTTGAGTTGGGCATGTTCTTTCTTAGGTGGCCCAAAAAGCGGGGGGGGAGGGAGTGGGGGGTGTTCTTTCTTAGGGCACCCAAAAAGAGAGGGACGGCGGGGGGTGGGGGGGTGTTCTTTCTTGGGGGGCCCAAACGTCACCGCCAAAAAGAGGCACCAACTCCAAAAAACAAGGAGCTATTGAGCCTCTGAGCAAAGCTCAGCTCCAAGAAATAAAATCCATGCCACAAGGAGCACCAGAAGTAACACCCCCCGGCGAATCGCCCCGAAATCAAACTCAAACCGCTCCTTCAGGTTCTTTGATCAACTCAACGTGGGTGTCCACTTGTCGGTAAGAAAAAAAACAAAGAAAAAAAAGTGCCTTGGATCGACCTTTGAGTCAATGCATGGCATTGAAGGGTCTACCACCTTCTTGGGCACCTAATGTCAGCAAGCGAGTAGTAAACCAACCCCTCCGATTACAGGTTTCCCCTTTTCCGTCCCAGATTCCCACCAATACTAAATTAAAGGGTCAACATGCCAAAAAAACCCTACCCAATATTTTTTCGGGCCTCCTCAAAAACCCCCCTGCTTAAAGGTATCCCCTGCAGCCCCCAAGCCGGAAAAAACCGGTTTTCCCCAAAATGTGCTTCTCCAAAAAATGGCATTTCCTTTAGTAAATGTTGCGTAAAACGACAAGGTTTTCAAGCTCACAAAGGGGACCCCCCTGTTATGAGTTAGGGCTCTTTTGGGCTCAAAACCAACAAAAAATGATGTTGCCTGTTAAAGTCCTATTGCCCAGAAGGGGCCAGAGGTAGGAGGACGAGGACCGAAGGGGCTCCAGATTGATCAGGGGGGTCCTCCAAAAAGTCTCAGTCTTGAAAACTTGTCCAAACCTGGTCGACCTTGAAGCGGGGGGGGGGTAACCAATCAGGGGTAACCATGAGTCTTGGTCCCCAACTCTTCCCTTCAGCTACCCATTCGATCTTCATTGTTGCTCACCAAGAGCTTGTTTTAAAGTCTGAGAAGGGCCTATCAAGGAAGGTATATAACTCCAACTCCGTACTCTGAAACCCCTTGACCAAATAAAACCACCAGGGGATCGCAGGTTTTAGTCCTTGGTTCCATTTACCAGGGTTTCATTTTGGGTACCTAATTTTTACCCACAGCCACATCCAGATCCTCGCCTCCTTCAAGGGTACGGACTCCGTGCAGAGCTGGAACTCGATGCTGGCGATGCGGTTGTCGATGTCCTGCTCCGAGGTGTAGCCGATGGACTTCCTGGAGTAGGTTCCAGGTCGAAAATGTCAAGGGAAGCCAGAGGAAAACTCAGAGACATGTACACATACAGACATGTTCCCGTGGTTTCCCTTGCAAATCTTCGGGAACGCCCAAAGACTGTTCACACATAAGAAAACCAAACAAGGCCGTACAATCACGTCTTCACGAAGCCAGGGGGAGACCTCTAAAATGGCCAATGTGCTTGTGTTGTGCTAGCCCAGGGCCAAAAAGGTGTCTCAAAAGTTTCACTTTCAGAGGGCCACCGCCAAGACAAGGACCAACTACATGCAAACCAAAACAACAGCACTAAAAAAAACGACTAGGCAGAAAAAAAACAGCGGCCTCACGGTTTCTTGCGGGGAAAAAGAAAAAAGCCCAACAAAAAAGAAAAAGACACATTCCCGGCCGGGGCGCTTCATGGTGTTCAGCTGGGTGCGCATCTGGCGGCCCTCCTCGCGCTTGCTGCCCACCGCCTTCTCGATCTCGTCCCGCCGCCCCTGGCGCGCTGACGCGTCGCACGAGAGACGCACGAGAGACGAGGAGGAGGATCTGGGATCGATCCGGGAGCTCCAACACCCCCAAGCTGGTACTAACTCGGTTGCGAAATTTGCTCCCTGATAAAAGTGAGTGGTTTAATACGGAAAACCCATTAGTTGGCAAAAAGTGAAGGTCCTAACATCCAACCCGGTACTGACATGAGTCACAATCAAAACCCGGTACTAAAATGGTCGACCCAGAACCACGTAAGGAATTAAGAAGGCGGCAGCTATTTATGGTTGGGATTGTCCCTTCCCAACCTTCATCTACCGGGGTTTTGATTGTGGCTCACATGGTGCACCTAGAATGGTGCACCTCACATGGCGCACTCAAATATCAAAATGGTGCGCACTAAAATGTTGCAGAGCCATTTTAAAATAATGATCAAGCCGGCAAAGACGCCCAAGGGATGGTTGGGATTCTCCCTTACTAACTTTCATCTACCCGGGTTCTGATTGTGTCTCAAATGCCCAGCTACCGGAGCTGCCTCGATGTCCCCGTCAAAAGTTGTTAGTAAATTCAGGGGTGGTGTCCATTGAAACGATCAACGCTTTTGGAGGTTCCAAAAAGGGAACTTGAGGAAACCCTGAATAAAGCAACCTGTTTCTTGGGCTACACCCAAGAACCAAAAACAAGCTGCAAAAAAAAAAAAAAAACAAGCTGTAAAAAAAAAAAAAACATCCACGGGAGCTAGCTCACCCCAAAAAACCAGTGAAACGATCGACACTTTGAAGGTTCCAAAAAGGGACATTGAGGAAACCCTCAAAAAAAAAAAAAAACATCCACGGGATTCTTAGCTCGCCTAAAAAAAATGAGAAGAAAAAAACCTCGCCTCCCCCCCCCCCTTCTCCCAAAACCCAAACCAAGCCTTTTCAAAAAAAAAAAAACAACGGGAGCTAAAAAAAAGCTCGCCCAAAAGAAATGAGGAGAAAAAAAACCTCGCCTCCCCCCCCCCCTTCTCCCAAAACCCAAACCAAGCCTTTTCAAAAAAAAAAAAAAAAACGGGAGCTAAAAAAAAAGCTCGCCCAAAAGAAATGAGGAGAAAAAAAACCTCGCCTCCCCCCCCCCTTCTCCCAAAACCCAAACCAAGCCTTTTCAAAAAAAAAAAAAACGGGAGCTAAAAAAAAGCTCGCCCAAAATAAATGAGGAGAAAAAAAACCTCGCCTCCCCCCCCCTTCTCCCAAAACCCAAACCAAGCCTTTAAAAAAAAAAAAAAACGGGAGCTAAAAAAAAAAGCTCGCCCAAAAGAAATGAGGAGAAAAAAAACCTCGCCTCCCCCCCCCCCTTCTCCCAAAACCCAAACCAAGCCTTTTCAAAAAAAAAAAAACACCCACGGGAGCAGCGAAAGAGATCCCGCGCCTGCAGCTCGTCCATCTTGCCGGTGAGCTCGTCCAGCTGGGCCCTGAGCTCCGCCTTCTTGGCGAAGAACTCCTCCTTGCCCCCGGACCGCGCCTGGATCTTCTCCGACATCTCCTGGTCAAAAAATCCCAGCGCCGGGGTGAATTTCGCCTTCTTGGGCTGGTGAAAAAATCCCAGAGCCGGGGTTAATTTCGCGGCTGGAACGTCTGTGGTTCCAAAAATACCACAATTTTCCAAATTTTGGGGTACCAATTTTTTTTGACCCAAAGGAACCCGCAAGGCCGGGCCCTGAAGGTTCCCTTAGCACACACCAGTGTGTTCAAGAAGGGCTAATTGGCCTGTTCAACTAATTCCCTAATATTTGTTGTTGTGTCCCCAGGGCTTCCTGAACTTCGCGGCTTGCAGTGGGGCAGGCATCCGGGGCTGGGCGTGGGCGTGGGGGCGTGGAGGTGTTGGAATTTTGGGCACAAACAACTAAGCCTCAAGGCAGGGGAGAGACTTTTCCTCATACAGCTGAGGAAGCTCGGCGCGTTGGCAACGACTCCCGGCGCCCTTCAGGTGATGTTCAAGGGGAAAGCTTCTAGTTTAATTTTGAACAAGGATCGACACTTCAAGAGGGATTTCAGATAGCAATTCACCCATGAGGTATCCACAGAGGAACCAGGACCCAGGCAGTCGGTGAGCTGGTAAAGGGCGAAAAGCTTCAAAGCAACCCCAAAAAGGGCACCAAAGAACAAGGGCTCGCAGTATTTCTGAACCAAACAGGGGCTGTGGGCCCCATTACTCAAAAGGGACTGGTCTTCAGGCGGGGGGGGGGGGGCAAATCCTTCTGCTTCTTCTGCAGCTTGTCGATCGCATCCTGAATCACCTGGACCTGGCGATTTTGTCTTCGGGGGCCGCGCAGGGATTCTCGTTTTCCCCTGTCACATGTGTCGGCTGCCCAGAAAATACTGCGAATCGGAGCCCCAAAGTGCCTGGTTTTCTTGTTGGCTTGCCTTTCAACCAACCGAAAAAGGGGACACTCTGCTCCCAAATTCACTAAACAAAATTCAGGGAAGTGTGCTTTGCACCTCTCTTTCAGCTCAGAGAGACACATCTGCATGATCTCAGATCCAGCACATGCGACGGCTGCACCGGGGATGAAGTCTTCGGGTCAGAAGTTTGCAGGGTCTCCCTCATACCCCCCAATTTCATCTTCGGAGAAAATCAGAAACCAAGATCCATGCGCGTGTCATGTTCAAAGCCACCAAGCCGGAAAAAAATATAGGGCCATCAAAACTCACATCAAGGCCGGGGCGGCCCGCATCCTGGGGTCAACCACCGGGCCGTTCGCTTGAAGGATCAGTTTGGCATACCAAAAGGAATCCTGGCGCCTTGCTCAGGGCCTGAAAATATGTCCTAGGCCAACCCTGGAACCCAAACAAGCCACCCCACCTGCGACCGGGGCACACGTGCAAAGAACCCCCTCGCACAATGCCCATTCCTGTTGAAATGACGACTGGTGATTGCGTCATGTCAGCTCATCTTGCAACCAACCCCATCCCGCCCACATGCTTCCCTCCGGCCTTGGCATCGAACTCGGTCCGGTCCGGCTGGGGCACCTTGTTCTTGTCCTCCTCCTGAGTCTCTTCCTTCTTGGCCTGAACGAGACAAACAGAACTTCAGGCATCTCGAAGCCACCAATAAAAACAAGAGGAGTCAAAGGACGCATAAACCAAAACCCTTCTGTGGGGTTTGGAGCGATGAGTCCCAGTCACAGGCACGATCCCCAAAATACCACGGCTCTTAGGATCGCCCATGTCCAAGCAGACTGGAGATTGGAGTTCAAAACTGGCTTCCTCTCAAAACCACGAGCAAAAAATAGACACTTCCTTCCGGGGCGACCTGTTGGGGGACTTCCACAGGCGGAGGCTGCAATCAACCATCGGCTCAATTGAAGCAGGGCCCTTCTGGGCGGCGACAAAAGAAGAAGAAAAGGGGAAGATCAGCCATCCGCTGTTCAACTTGTCTTGAAAGGTAGTTGAACTTTGGCGGTTCTTCAGCACCCTGACTTGGTCAGCTGAGAACTTGAGCTAAGAAAACGACTCTCAACTCCTCTGTAGCGGCCCACTTGTTTCATGCCCGCAGGTTGCAAGAGATCATGTACCTAAAGAGCAAATCTCGACCGCAAAAACACTCCGATGGCTGGGAAAAATGCTTCTCGATTTTCGCATTCTTCAGTGGCCATTTCAACTGTTGGGAGTTGCTAAGAAATGCTCCGACACGCAAGAAGGCAACTCCGACTTCCAAACCCTTACCGCTCCAATTATATCAGCCCCTCCAGCAATTGCCTCCAGCTGAACGTACATCAACCAACCCCCAAAAATCAAAATGTCAACCCGATCCAAAAAAAAAGGGAGGCATTGACGCTGCCGTCCTTGGCCTTGCCCTTGGCGTCGGCTTTCGCTTTGGGTTTGGCATCAGCCTTCGGGGCGGTCTTGGGAGCCATGGCAGATGAGTTCGAGTGGTCACCAGTCGCGTCCTTTAGGCTTCGCAGCGTCCTCTTGGGCCGAAAGCAAGTGGACGTTTTCAAAAATAAAAATAAGAAAAAAATCGAAGGGCTGGTGTGGAGAGAAACCCAAAAGAAAAAACCATCGGGTTTTGGAATCCCCTCAAGTGTGGTACCGAAGCACGTTTTCCACGTGCGCGCGGTGCACAAAAACAACCCTGCGCAATGAGAACCATGCGTTTGTCCAAAAACCCTGCAGACACGCAGGAAAAATTGTCCAAGTCTTCCAGCAGTGTCCCTGACCAATCATGAAGGTTGTGTTCAAAAGCTGTTGCGGCGGTCAGACTTAATTTGCTCCCATGTGAGCCCTCTGGTACTTGTGGCGGATTTAGGTTTCTGCGTTTTCTGTGTTCTGTTATAAGGACTAACACTGGATGACAATCCAAGACTACAGCACAACAAAGGATTCAACAGCACACTGGAGAACAGAGATGGCCTGCTCTTCCTACAAGCAGAAATCACAGCATTACCAAAAGGAACGAATTACAGATACACAGCACGCAGCAAGGACAGATTGGCATGATAGCAGACTACAACACTTACACCACAAGGCACTGCGGATACAGGATACGCAGGAAACTACTGGCAGTTCAATACAAAAGGTGAAATTGTCGGAGTACACAGGCAATACAAAAAGACAGTCTTCACACCATCAAATTCACAGTGTCCAGCCCCAACAGAACAACTTGAGGACTACGGAAAAACAACCAGCAGATTCAAGAATGGTACAACGAACACGCTTGATCACAAGTATCAAGCATGGACGTTCCACTCAAAGCACAACAACAGATGTCGAAAGGAAAGGCAGTTTTCAGGATCGAGAAAGGCACAACACTGCCAGAGACACTGCAGCAACAGCTTGCAACAAAACACGGCCAAACAGCGCAAGGTCACACCACATCACAGTAGTGACACAAAAACAATTTGCCGCGCGCCGGAAACGAAACGATGAAGCGCGGCGGCTTCTTGACCGAGGTTGCCTAAAAAAATTACGGAACAGCGCCGCGCAGAGAACGTAGCACCGCCAGTCGGCCTTTTCGCTGAGAAAGAAGTACCCATGAAAAACAAAATGCTGGAAATTCGAAGACTTGGCAACTTTGCAGACGGTGGAAACCATTACTTGAAGCCACTTGAAGCACTTGTTGCAAACAACCAAAATCCCGCACATACAAACAAATCTCACCAGTCGTTCCACACAGGCGCTAACTCCGTGAAGGGCACCCAACCCCATGATTTTAAAAATCTCCCAACCCCTCTTTTTTGGCGACAGTCATCAAACAAAAAGTTGGGCTTGCTGGATTGCATGGAGAACCACAACATTGTGTGCGGGCGAGAAAGTAACTCAAACACATCGTGCACATCAAATGTGTTTCTGAACAGTATTTATGTTGGTGTTCCTGGAAGAAATTGCCTGTGTCAACTCACCTAAAAAACGCTTCAAAGTTCTAATTGTAAAGCTAGAAGACATCCAGACCAGCAGAAAACTGGTCACGGAAACTTGAACGTTCAGTACTAAAGTATGCAAAAGAAACTGCAAAAATCAGAAATAAAAAACAAGACTAAAATCATTAGACGCCTACCAGCCAACGCACGTCAAGGGCTAAGAGCCCTTATTGCAAGGGGCGGTTTCACAGACCAAAATACGGCACAAATAATGCAGCCGCGTCTCCCCTCAAGGACTGCACATCCACAGCGCCAAGGTCCAAAAGTTTAGATTTTAAAACGCCTGCAACACGTTGACAACTATTTTCCCCGGAGCCGCCTACGGCAAAGTCGCCGGTCGACAATTAGGAGCGAAGCGAACAAACAACCCGTAGCAGTGGGCAAGCCCAAACGAATTCCTTAATTGAGGCAGGTGCTGCTGCAAAGCACCTGCACTCAAAGATGACAACAACAAACACGAAGAAGCTCATCCTTCTGCAACAACCCTACAGCCAGCTCAAACTGCAGGAGCCGGGAACCATGAAAACAATCCAGGACGACACCATCTGCAAAGGGTTTTCCTCTCCCCAATCTTGCTCTTGAGCAGCCAAACAACCCGCAAATACACAAAGAACCAACCAATGCAACAACATAGCAAGGACAGCTTGCTCGGCTTGTTGGGCGTTACAAAGGGGTTAGAATCTTGATCACTGCTTCAATCCGTAAGGGAACATGCATCAAGAGACAAAAGAGAACGACCGACAAAGGGTGCGCTCGCTCTGTTTTTTTAATAAGGGCTCGGGGGCGCAGGGGGAGCGATGGAGAGTGCTTAGCTTAACCTTGCCTTTGGGTTCCTCCTCTGGCGAGCACGTGCGTCGCTTTGTCCAGAACTGCCTGCTCCGCCATGATGGCAAGTGCAAGATCCACCCAAAGAACATTTTTTTGTCCTAAACGATGCTGGTCGAGAAGGAAACCATAGCCTGCTCATCAACTCTTTCCAGGTTCCACCAAAGCCGCCTGCTTTGGAAGGGCAACAAAAGTGTGTGCGCACCCAGTTTCTCATCGTGAGTAAGCTTTCCCTGAGCAACCGCGCAACCGTGGTGCGGCGTCGACGCCTTCGAGCCCGTCGCAAACCTGCACCGCAGTTACTTGAGGCAAGACCCGGACTTCCTGCGCCCCTTGCTGCGCCTGGTGGGGCGCAAGGTGGACAGGCGCTTCTACTTCAGGCACCTCCTGCCGGGCGCTCAGAGAGGCCGTGCAGGGCGTCGGGCTGCCTGCTCATACGTCCTGTCGGGAAAGTGGGGCTCCTTCGCGCAGCAGCGGCCACTGGCACTGAGCAGCGTGCGGCGTCTGCAGCGCCCACCGAGAAACGTGACCGTGCGGCGCCAGGATGCGCTGGCCTATCTACGCGCTCGGAGTAGTAAGGAAAGGGGGCCTATAGCACCCTAATTATTTTGGTTTTTTGGTCCAAAAACCCTGCAAAACTGCATAATTTTCAACCAGCTGAACTCGTCACCAGCGATGTCACCGCTTCGTCACCGCTCCGTTTTTGGTGCAAAAAGCGCTCAAAACGCCCAACTCCGAAAAGTTCGTTTTTTCGTGTCAGACGTCAAGTGTGGTGCCTGAGCCTCCAAATTCGCTCGTTTTCAGTCGAAATCGGGCTCCAGACGCTCGCTGTGCTCTGGATTCCGTTTTCTGCGCGGAAAAGCAGGCAAATTCCATCCCGCCGAGCTTGTCACCGTTTGCCACCGCTTTGTCACCGCTCGCTTTTGGGTCGAAAAAGTGCGCAAAAGCGGCCCAGTTCCCGAGTTCCGGAGGACTTCGTTCTTCGCAGGGTTTTCCGCGGCACGACAGCCTGCCGAGGACCTGGCTCGGAACGCGGCAGCCCGCCGAGGTTTCGGCTTGCGACACGTCAGCCCGCCGAACTTGTCACCGCCTTTGTCACCGCTCCGTCTGGCTCGCTCAAAACGGCCAACTCCGAAAAGTTCGTTTTTTCGTGTCAGACGGTAAGTGGGATGCCTGAGCCTCAAGTTTCGCTCGTTTTCGGTCGAAAGCAGGCTCCAGACGCTCACTTTGCTCAGGCCCGGAAAACAGGCGAATTCCATCCCGCCGAGCTTGTCACCGCTTGTCACCGCTTCGTCACCGCTCTCTTTTGGGCCGAAAAGTGCGCAAAAGCGGCCAAGTTCCCGAGAGGACTTCGTTCTTGGCAAGTTTGAGTCAATAATGGAACGGGCTGGTTCATTAATGGGCAAGGTTGGTTCATTAGTGCCCGGCCGCAGCTCAGAACCACTGAGACAAGAGGTGCTAGCGAGGCAGGTGGCTTCGGTCTCAAAGTCCACCGAGGTCCCGACTTCGCTCTCGCACCGAGGTCGGAATTCCGACTTCGCTCCAAGCTTCCAATTTTGCCCGAAAAATCCTGCAGGTAGCGATGCGATGGGGAGCGCATCACTGCCGGAGTTGGTTTTCAGCCCGAAAACCCTGGTGCGGGCCTGGTGCGGGCCACTGTCGCAGCGCCGAAGGTCTGTCAGCGGCCTGCCCTGAGTCTGCAAAAGTAGTAAATTTACTATTTTAATATATTTTCTAAAAAATCGAAGAATTTACTAGTAAAATTTACTATTTTTGCAAATTTAGTAAATTTGCACGGGGTCAGAAAAACACAGCCAGAACGCCCCAAACTAAGAAGAAACCAATGGAGGGAGTGCATGGGAACATGCATGTCAACGGCAAAAAAAGCTCAGCTTCCCGCTTCACAAGTAAGAATTGCACGCTTGATGGTCCTGAGTTGGGCCTCCTGCTTTGCAAGCACAAGCACCAATATCTGCAAGTCTAACCTACACTGCACATGTCACAAGCAAAAATTTCTGTGTAAAACCCATAAGGCACCGGCAGGCACAAGTCATACGGAGGTTGCCCCGCAAGTAATTTGTCATTTGTTTCGCGAAGCAGCCCGTTCAATCCTCAAGCAACGAAATCCTTGCAACTCATGCGGTGTTCCCTCGAAGCGCCTGCGCCAGCCGTTCTCTCGGTGAAACTAGGGCTTCGTTTCATTCCACAGCTTCTGGAGCCGCTGCATTGTCGCCTCGCCCTTGTAACACCAAACGATGCTTGGGTGAATGCACCTTGCCAACCACAGGGAATGCAAGCAAAAAATGCGTTTTCTTGCCAGAGGTCTCGTAGTACTCCTGCAACCTACAGCGCAGTTTGCGCTCTTCTTGCGCTTTTACATGCGAATCCCACGTCACAGATTTACTCGCGCACTTACTTGCGATCCGAAGACTTGTCGGCATATTCATCTTTGGTTTTTTGTACGCTTCTGGTTGCCTGTCCTGCGGGAGACATGTGATTGAAGTGCGCTGGCGCGCAACCCTCTTTACTTGTGAGCGACTGATTTCCCTGGCTGAAGCGTGAAGCATTTACTTGGGACGCATGTGGCACATGGCAAGCTCATTGGACTTTATTTACAGACATACTTCTGAACGCAGGCTATTGTTGCGGCATTGCGCACAACGCGCAACTTCCGAGGGCAAGCGAAACACGTTCAGTATACTACTCGTCAGATGTTTTTTAAGTTCGAAA